CATAGATAATTAGGAGAGGGACCGGTCACGTGAGAGGGTTTAACCAATAAAAGGGGAACAGAGTCCGATTTTCATACGAGTCCGATTTTCATATGACACCGGTGTATTGTGAATTTAGGATTATGGAATTCTGACTCTCTGGTAAAATTTGCGCATGCCTACGTGAGGATTGTGAACGTTCAACCAATAAAACGGTAAAAGACACCGGATTACATAGGAGTCCAAATTTCATGTGACACTGGGCAAGTGTTTGAAACCAGCCAGTCGGTCTTAATCAACCGTTTAAGACCGGCCACGTGAAGGGCTTTCGACCAAGGGAATGGGTAAACTGTCTTATGTATTTATGAATTGTAGATATAACCCCTACTGGAAAAAGACTGATCAACAAACATACGAATAGGTCACTAACAGGGAGAAATACATGTACATGAATTGATTTGTCTACTGATAACGTCAACCATAATAACCTGGCAACTTGACAACTAACTGAGCCACGACACTGCGCTGTTATTTACATAATGTTCAAGTCCGTCATGAACATGAAATGTCAATTCTCCTTATGGGTGCATCAACGTTGTGAGCCACATTGAATTTGGGTCTCGAATAGAGGCAAAACGTAAAGACAGCAAGGCTAAAATGGCCGTTTTGGTTATGTACATAATGGCCGCCTCTTTAGCGCGCGTAAACGTAACATGAACCCTCCTACGCCTTTCTTGAACGCCACTTCAGCCCGCCAGAGGAGGTCTGGGCTTTCTGCAAAAGCGAGTTCCCCGCCACGTTTTTTCCCCTTCCCACGGATAAGAGCTTCGTTTCCCCTCCTTCAGCTCAGAGGAACTTGTTTGCCTTTCCACGGACGTGCTCGGCAATTTCCCCCCTCTCTTTTTCATACATCTCTAATCCATCCTGAACTTGTTGTCTTCGAAATATATTCTAATCCGATCGGGCATAAGAAAACATCCCCTGCGGATTGTGTTTTCTTTCAATTTATTAGCTGCATTATCAATATTCTGGAAACTAAATTTCTCCTTCTGCAGCCTGGAATTCCATAATTTTCTGGCATCTCTTGGGAAATTGAAAATTTTAATCGATTAATAATGATTTAGTTTTGTATTCAACAGGTTCTTGGTACATCGTACTGTCAACAATCGTGTTTGAATACATACATTTCGAACGGTGCGGTTCATGACATTTGGTGGCAGCAAACAGGTTTCAATTATATTGCGCATGCCCGGAAAATCAAATTTAAAAATGTCCTGGGATGCCTTAGGTGTCTACCAAAACAACCTGTTGTTGGCATTTCCTTGAGATGCTTGCCGTTGATTTGAAATCTTGAGCTTCTACAATGTGTTTTCCTCTTCTTGTTTATCAAATGACAGCACCATGTTGATGACGTCACAGATTTGGATGGAGTTGATAAATAACAAACGAACGCATATCAATACTTTGTTTGCGTGCGCGCATTGGAAGCGGGTCTACCGTCTACACAGATTTGCTCGAGAGAGAGAAGAAAAAAAAGAGACATCCTCAATTTCCACTATAGGCTGGAGAGAACGGTTAACCCCACATTTAATTCTAACAGAAGTGTCGCTCTTCTCAGTCGTGGGTGGGTAAGCCTAGTCTACTTCTCCAGCCGTCTCAAGCCCGGTCAGGGCAAACAAGGTGACGCGTTGGCGGACAAACACTCTTACAGACTCCCACTCAAGCAGGTAATTCCCGTAATCTTTTCCAAAGCTGGACAAGCACGCACTCGACGCGTGCCATTTTTGCGCTTAGTGTACACTCCAACGCTGTTTTACGGTAACCTAATATTCCGAAACAGATCTCGACGATCTGTAAGAAGCATCATTAATTAATGTCTCTACCTGAGATGAGCTCTCAAGGCCAAACAAAATACCCGTTAATCATGTTCAGAATAAAATATGCACATTGTCGGCAGCATACGTAACCATACTTCAACATTAATGACCCATTAATATTCACACCGATAATTACACATGAAAGTAAGATTTATTTAAGACTAAATCTTGATTTACGTGTGGTATGACGCTTTCATACAATCTGTTAATGTGCGGTCGCGCGAGGTTATCAAGCGTTCATGACAATATTACAGACGATGGTTCGATACATTTTTGCACGTGAAATGTCCTATTTTCCAGCTTGTCGTGCATATCGGTTGGGAAAACACTACAGCTTAGGGATAAAGGTTATGTACACAAATTTGGCGGCCACAATAAGAATCATTTTCTGTAGTAGTACCTCGCATGCGCGCGAAATCGCGCGCGTTCTTCAATTTGAGCCAGGTGTATTTTGGCAACCCTATTGGTCGAAGGAGCGTTAAGCGCGCGCGTACGGTACGTCCGGTTACTAATGGCTTCTTAATTGCGGTCCCGGATCAGTCAATAGCTCACGTATAAGCTCAATGAGAAGAACCCATCGACCTCCGGTTCTCCGAAATAAAATAAAAATCAGCGTGATCTGAGAGGTAGGCCCCGGGGGAATGGCTTGTCTTCGCGGCATCTCATAGGCACTCGAACTCGCTCCCTCGGGCTCGGCGTAAATGGACTGAAATTCCCTCCTCAATTTTTTCGCCCCCGACTGTATATAGAAGATGGTTGTAGAATTGCCCGGGAGTTTATAACAAGGGCAATTTCCCTCCAAGAGAAATGATTGAAAGCTCTCCCACATGTTTTCTGAAGTATCGTGTCTTGGAAAACAGTCGTGTAATCGCCCCGATGGATTTTGATAGCGTTTTACGAGATCGAGCGTAGATGTGGACATTTGCAAATGAAAAATAAGAGTCGACTTTGCTGGGGAATCTCGTGGCGTGCTTAAGACAGGCCAATCGGCACGCTCCCCAGAGAGTTTTTTCCCAAACAAATCGGTTCTCGGTGGTGCCATTTCCACTTTCGCAATTCGCTTTTGTGATTTTTTTTTTAATTGTCCACACACATTTTAATACATGTAAAAGCAATCTAAAAGCTGAAACTCTGAACGCTCCTAGGTCTGATCAGTAATAATCTATACTCGGAAGAAATTGCAAGTTCATCATTTTGATATTTTTAGTTTAATTAAATTTATTGTTCATTCGTGTAAATTGACAAAAATTTGGAGAAACATCCAAATTTGAACATCATTCATGATTTATCAAAAATATAACCACAAATTTATTCATCGACAACACTCGGTTTAGGCGTAATTATACAGAAGAAACACAATACACAACTGTCAAAAGGTAAAGACGTTGTTTAACTACTACGTACTAGTTGCATACAAATAATGCATTTCCAAAATTATTCTGCGTACACTTCTCGATGATTAACACCAAAATATGTCTTGTTATCTCACACTTTACGCCCAAAACACATGCGCTTTCTGTCTTTTTACCTCTTTTTGGACGACTGACTAGCTAACATTGATTCCCGCCAAAATCAATCAATAACATTGCGTTTGTTCGTTGGTATGGGCTCCGTGCGCCAACGCAAGAGAGCGCCCTTTTACCAAGCGGGACGCACGTACACCAGGGGATTAGTACTATGAGCACGCAGTGGTACGGCCGCACGTCACGGCAAACTTGCAGTCAGGCAAGATGGCGTCGGTCGGTCACCCCCAACTGTACTTTCTTTGACGGTGAGGGGGTATTATTGTGAACGGAGCGGATAGGCCTACCAGTTGGTATGCCGCACATGATTTACTAAGTGCCTTGTCTAGTGTATTTGTTTAGCCAAGTTGGAAACCAGTGAAACGGCTCCTTGAGCTGCTGCATTTTTATACCCATCTCATTATGCATCTGCAAAGTCTCCAAACAGCGCTTGGTTAGCAACGGGAATTGATTGGTTGTCCTTCATAGTTACTTTGGCTCAAGACAATAATTATTATTCGGGTTTCCGGACAATGCATGCGAGGAAATGTGGACCTCTGCACTATCGGGTTGAATAAGAGGTAGCGGTTTCCGTCATAGCCTCATTTTCACAATCACAGCCTCAGTTTGGCTTTCCAATATGGCGGTTCTGTGCAAAGAGTGAATAACATGGGCGTTATTCACGAGTCGGCCATATTGAATTGAAAGTGAGGTGAAATCTCAATTTTTTGAACTTGCGAAGAGAAATGAAAGCAGTTAATTTCTAATTAATTCCAGTCTGCTTCTGTCAATGAATAATTTTAAAATTTGTAATTAAACATCCCCTAATGTTTAAAGCCAGATTGAAAAAAAAATGACAAAAAAATAAGGCTGCACTGAGCCTGCATAAATAGTCTGGCGCCATCCCATTCAACGGTTTACAATTAATGAAATACATTCAGGGAACTCGACAAAAATGGCCAACTCGTGAATAAGGCCCATGCGTGGTGTCGGCAAGCTATATCCTGTGATTTCCGGCAGTATGGTGGCCAAGACAGAACGTCACAGAAAAACAACTTGGAAAAATAAAACTTGCCTATCGCATGCATGCATGCGACTCCAAACCGTAAACATATTGCAATTTAACAATTTAATATTGCATATAAACAATTGATTAATTACCTATTCTCCTCTATGAATAACACACAGGGCCCTACGCCACACACTGGTTTTTCAGAGCCATTCGCGACGGTGGCCTTATCTGGACACACAATGACATCACAATTCACCATTATTAAAAAAAGATAGATAGGCAGCACACGGAATTACTCGTAAAAGCGTCCATTTTGTGTCCAAGGTTTTTGAATACATTTGCTTGCAAAGCCGTCTCCGTCACAATGTTTTTAAGACAGATTTTCGAGGCGCGCATCGATGGTGGATGCAACTGAGTAATTAGTCGACGTCAAGCTCTGCAGCAACGGATGACGACTTAAGCGCACCCTGCTTATCTCAGAAAAATATAATATATAAGCACATTATTTAATTATTACTCTCAATTATAAATTGTGCTAGGGGAACAACTTCTGCAGTTAGCTATTATCACCTACCTAATAACTAAAGCAACCAAATTCGCGTGCAGACAAACACACACTTAAAAGCCACATTCGATTCCATCACATCTATCTTTTGGCTGAAGAGTTGATTGAGCAAAGATTTATTTCCAAAACTTGAATTTGAACCAAAGACTACTTCACAAAACTTACTAACAGAAAATGATTTAGGCACAATCATTTTAAAGGCACCCTGCGTTTGACAAGAAAAATAAAGATCAGATATAATCATTAAGTATCAGTGGTAGTTCACATTATAGTAGTTTAGTACAAAATAGTATCAATTATTCTTTGGCATCCCAATAAGGTATAAACGTTATATAATTATTTCTGAAAGATTAGTTTTGCCTATTGCGCACGTCAAAAAGACAACAAATTGCAAAGTTTAAGACCGAACAAATCAGTTCTGAAGACCGCGCGAGCAGTAGGCCTAACTAATAACAAATATAATACAATGTCACTTCGTATATACATAACATTCGATAAATTTTCTGTTTGTACATGAATTGTTTCAAGTTGAAATTAACACGCTGTGACAGCAACGGCTGAATGTGAAACCATGGAAACACACCCAGAACAAAATCTTGTCGAGTTTAGTTACTACTCACAAGAATATTTTACGCAAATTCCGATTCGGAATATTTTCCCCCCACCTCTCTCTTCTCATTTTTGTGACGTGTTGCAAGGACTCATTTATCGAGTCAACAGAGGGCGCTGTTTATACTCGTACTATGGAATCAAGGCAGTACAAAAGGGGGTGGATGTGAGTAATGGAAGTATATATGCATAGTGAACTGACTTCCATTACAAACGATTCAATATCATTAACTGAATGAAGTTTCCCGACACGCTGCAAAAATGTCGCTAAACAGCGCCATCTACTGACGACATGCACAATACAACTTTTGAAAAGCACACCAGTTAGCCCACATATCAAAGCTTGAACTTTCACGACATTAAATAACGAGTTTAATAATGGAAATTAGCTTGGAATTAAGCAGAAAGCACCTGAAGAAAACGGACGTGTTCGGAAGGTTTTTTTAAAATAATGATTTAAACATCAACTAAAGACTGTATCCATCATGGCGGGTTCTCGCGCCAGAGACGAACCGTCCGCCATTTTGAAATTGCTTATGACTGAGATGCCGTTTTGTGACCCCTGACCCGGGTCCTCCGCGACGTCATCGAGTTGCGTAGACAGCGAGGCCGCAGAGCGGCCGATATCGGCCCCGCCGCGCCGGCCCAGCTCCGACTCGCCCTCGTCGTCGGACTGGGAAAGTTGCTTGCCGTACTTGCGCTTGACCACGACCCAGCAGAAGATGGCCATGACCACCGAGATGGTCTTGAGGCCGGTGGACAGGCCCAGGTAGCGGTAGAAGTACTTCTCGTTGTCGTACTCGAGGCAGGAGCCGCGGCGGTCGCTGCAGGTCTGCTGCCAGAGGATACAGGCTCCATCGATGGTGGCGCCGTAGTAGATTGGCGCTGGTATGTAACCTGAAATGGACACAAATGGACACAAGTGCGAGTGCACAATAAGCTCTGGCCGTCTTGCATTAAAGTCTTCCATGACATCAATCAAACTGATCCCTGCCAGAGCCGATGGCCGATGGCACATGTGGAACACCATACTATTTGCCAATTTCTTGGGACGGACAGATAGACCAGACAGACAGACCATATTCGACCGACCTACCGACCGCCCGACAAGTGATATGTACTCCTGCCAGAGCCTAAACAAGCATTATCAGTAAACTAAAAGAACCTTTCATTCAACAAATGCCAAAGCAATGGATGTTTGTTTTTCCTACTTAACAGACCACGCGAACACAATCTCAGTTGGTACATTGAGTTGAATGCTCGTGTCATCATAGTAATTTGTGACAATCACACATGTCAATAAACCTATTAAAGACATAATGATGTCATGCTTTGTTTACGTGTGCGCTTTCCTACGAGAGCCAGGTGAATTTCGTCCCACAGGACTCATAGGAAAGCCCACATGTAAACAAAGCGTGACGTCATTATGTCTTAGGTCTATTCAATTAAAATGTGCATCCTGGAAGAATGTAACAAACTAAGTTTGTACCGCAAAATGAGAACATTTTTCTGCGAATACAACAACGAGATGCTCGCGGATTGTGGGTACAGAAAGAAGGCATGCGTGCGCAGTATTTAGGAAGGACAGTGTAAATCGTAATGGCTCTCTCCTGAAGACGGTCAGAGCATAGTTAGTCTTAGTCGAGAAATTATTCGCACATGGTGTTTCCGCAAACCTCTCATTCATTAGTATCTCCACCATGCAAAGCCTCACATCGTACGTAATGGTATGGTCTATTTTATATTCACGATGTAAGGTCAGAATTTCATATTCCGGTTCTTGCACTGGCAGTTGGCAATGATCCGATTCAATATTGAATTGGCAAAAGAAGATGAAATGCTCACCAAGAAGTCTTATGACGACAAACTGCAGACCGAGAGCAAACGGCCTCTCCTCTTTCTTGACGCTCCTGGAAAAGTGAAGAAGAATCAGAGGAAAAAATAAACTAGAGATAAATGCCTTCAGGCCAAGACCAGGATAAACCTCATAGATGCTAATTTAAAACTGCAGAAAATTAATGTTGATAGAAAATGAGACTTGTCATGAGATCTCTCACGCTTGCTAAAAAGGGATTGGAAAAGATCTAGCTGAAGCGGGCACACATTTTGCCAGAATGTATGCACCGCCCTCCTCATTTTGAAAATGAACAAATGATTTTAATTCAATCGTTTTCAATCAGGGGAGTCAAATAATCCACGAGATAGCTCAATGGGAGACTTTTGAGACGTTGGTGGCAGCAAACACACCAGTCCTTTTCAATTGTTTACGTCATATTTACGCTTAAAGGGAATATACATCATTTGCTTTTGCTGTAATTTTCAGAAATGGATGGAATTGGGGGGTTCGAAATATATAGCAAATATAGTTACACTGACTTTTTTGAGGTTTTGGGTTCAAAAATGCTTTAAAAACCGAGAAAAACAATCAATTTCCTGTAGTCTGGTTCCCTGACTCCATTTAAGAAGAAACAGAGCAGTTTACATACATTGGGGAATTGTAAGTTCAGGGAACCAGCTGGCTTGTACCCGTTCATAGGTGTGTAATCAATTGCAAACAAGTGCGATGATCAATTGGGGCCAGTATTGGAAAGAAAGCCAGTTTTTTCCAACGCTGGTCAGCCGATCAGCGTTGGAAATTAATACAAAAATACCACTTTTCTTGAAAATGACAGTATACCAGGTGCCATGATTTTACAGAATGCTTTACACTGTCATTCACTAACAGTCCAGCAAGGTATTTCAAAATGATTTGGTAGTTTTATTTTTTGATGTTTGCAAATGTTGTATTTTCCCTTTAAGCGCGCATGTTCAATATGAGGCAAACAATGGAAAAAGGACGGGTGCGTTTGCTGCCACCAACGTCTCAAAAATATCACCTAGGTAGAGCATTGGTGTGGTGTTACAGAGGTATTACAGGTTATGTCTTTATATAGAGATCAGTGGTTACGTCCCACTCCGGTCGATTTATTTGGTTCAACTAAATTTTAAGAAACTTAAAGGCATCCACAGGCCACCGTACCTCAGGGTGGTCATCAGCGCTGGCATTTGCACGATTGACGTCACGCAGACCACCAACAGGAGCAGGCAAATGAACGGGATTAGCGTGGTGCACTCCTGGGCGCACTGGCCCGTGATGGCGCCCTCTACATCCGAGCCGGCGTAAGCGAATTTCTGGCCGTCGTAGTAGATCTCAATGCCGTCCTCGCGGAATTGTCTCAACAGTTCTGCGCGTCGGGCGAGGTTGGCGTTGCTAAGCGAGTAATTCTCCGGGAGCGCGGGAATGTAGTTGTCAATGCAGCTGCAGTTGGTGTAATTCTAGGGGTGTTGGAAGAACAAAGTTGCAAAAATAATACTTCAGGAATCAGTAAAACCAATCGATTATAACAGCTAACTAAACACCGCAACTAAAGAAATGCCACACTCATTGGAGGGGTCATAATTATGAATCTATGATAACGTCATTTATATAGACCTTTGGGGAATGTTGTTAGCTACATTTTGATACCCCGTTTGCTACCAAAGACTGTAAACTCTCCAACATTGACAACGGTTTTGAAAAATGATGCAGTTTGAAAAGTTGCAAAATTAAAGAGTACGCGAGTGGACATTGCTGCGTGGCAATGTTACACTGCCCAAAACGAAAGGCAGGGATAATCGATCGCACAGTGCTTACATGCATGGGAGCACGCGAATTGAACTACCAGCACTGTTCGGGCACGGTGCAGTCGATAGAGGCCACTTACGGTTACTCTTAGCAATTTCTAATCGCGTAATCTTACAAATTTGCAACTTCTCAAACTGCATCATTTTTCATAAACGTTGTCAATCTTGGACGATTTACAGTCTTTGGTAGCAAACAGGATATCAAAATGTAACTAACAGAATTCCCCAAAGGTCTACATAGCTGACGTCATCATAACACGATAAGATTAAAAAATACAGATATACAGATTATATTGATAATTGTCAATATCTTTAATTGATCAATACTGGTCAATGGGCTCCGTGCGCCAACAAAACAGGGCGCCCTTTTACGTATAGCAACGACGTCCCATGGGCGGGACACCGCGCGCGCACCGTTCCTTGTGTGTGACGCACGTACACCAGGGGATTTCTACTATGAATACGCAGTAGCCACGCTTCGCGCCAAAATATTGCAGTCATGCAAGATGGCGTCGTTCGGTCACCCCCAGCTGTACTTTCTTTGCAAGTTAGGGGGTACTTGTGAACGGAGCAGATACTGGTCAATACTCACCACTAGTGTTCTCTGGTCTTCCGAGCCCACATCAGCAGGCAAATCTCGCTGTTCCAGGCAGCCCGCGTGACACGCACTGAAGTACGTCAACCCATTGGAACCGCAGACGGGGTAATAGTCCCACTCCTGGCAACTACAGGGGGCGTTGCATGAGCTGGTTAGGTTGACGTTGTGGAAACTGCGCGGCGAGTGCCAGTCACTGTCACTGCGTATTAAGGAAGAATGGCGGGAACATTATAGCTTTCAGCGAGTGAGGGCGCTGTTTATAAACTACGCAATTTTGAGGTAAACACAGAAGAAATGTAGCACATTTATAAATCTTTCTATGGACGGTCAATGGACCTGTCTATCGCCGACGCGTGGTTGGCGCAAATTGCTAACCAGGGGTTGCCAAACGTTTTGCAACCCCTGGTTGGCAATTAGGAAGGTTCAACAATTCGAATATGAAGATTGATATTATTAATGAATACCAAAATATTATTTGATTGTTGAAAATACAAAATTATTAACAAATGTTATACAACAAAATCCTGAACATGCTTTACCCTATGAGGGTTTCATTACCCATTTTATTAACCTTGCAGTTTATTCTGCTCCATGAATATTCATGAGACAGTCTGACGTTTAACCGCCATTCAAACGTTTAACCAGCTTCCGGTAAATCTATCGACCCTAACTACACGTCCCTGGCAGTGTTTGACAAAAACAGCTGCATGGCGACGACACGCCCTCTATCGATGGCTGGACACGCTTGGCGCGTTTTAATGAATGCTACGTTATTTGTACACGGCCACTTGTTGTCAATGCAATTATCAACCAGACGAACCAGACGAACTAAAGACCAGTTATGTAATATCTAACAAAGGCATAGAGACACAGTTATTTGAAGTGGTGGCGAATCTATTGACTTTGTTTTTGGCAAGTCACGCAGGTTTTTTTTTTATTTTTATTATTTTATCTAACCAGTATTTTTCACACTAGACTATAATTAAGACGACTATTATTGCAGATCGACAGAATAATCCAAGTTTTAAAAGAATGCTTTATGAAACCTTAAAATAACTGAATATTTAACGGACTTCCAAAAAATGACGATTGACTATACACCCAATGCTGAAGCGATAGATTGTTCAAAATCAGTCACCTTTCGCCTAACAAATATTTGTCATGTCATTAAAAAATAAAAAAACACTTCACCATTACAAAAAAATGTTCCGCACACAATGTGGTCCTACTTGAACATGTATGCGCTGACGAATAACCTTTGCACACATGTAAAATCAGTCAATAGTTTTTGTGTAGTTTCGTAAGAAAAAGGTTCACTATTTGAGTTTTTCATGTGTTGTTCTGGTCAAGAATATACTACACTGTGCAGCATAATAGGACCACCAAAAAGTAGTGTTTAATATTATTAAAGTGACCGGTCAGCTATACCATAGCTATACCATATATTTCTGTCTAGTACACTGTTTGCTAGGATGTAAGCTGTGTAAACATGGCGGACATACAGAGCCGAAAACGCACAGTCACTCAAAGGGGTATACTGTGAATGCGCACAAGAGCACGACTGGTGCGATGGCAATTTATGCACTCAAAGTCCACAGCGGGCGAGATAGGGGAAATATTTGGGGAATTGTGTCTTTGATGACACAAGCATGGCATTTGGCACACAGTCAGAGTTTGTCATGAGAAAGAAATTTGGTTATAAGGCCATCGCACATTTGAACCTTTGAAAAAAAATCCAGGTAGAGTAACAAGCAATTTTCAAAAGTTTCAAAATGGCTGCCATTGCTTGTATATTTTTTTAAAGGACAAATCTGCCATGGCCCCATAGCCAAATATCTTCCACGTGACATACTCTGTGTGCCAAATTCCATGCTTTTATCATCAATTAATGAACAAGCCCACACTGTAAAAACAGTGTTTAGCATTAAAACACATCAGAACGTGTTTAGAGTTTAAAACGTTTAGGAATGTGTTTCAATTCTAAACCTTTACCACTTTTTAATGTTGTGAAACTAAACGTGTTTACGTTTTGGACATGTGCTTAGGATTGTATATCTAAATGCGCTTAGGAAGGTGTTTAAATGCTAAACATATTATTCATTGAACATGTCAAACGGATAATGCGAGTCACAGAAAAAGGACATCTAAACATGTCATGATGCTAAACGTGTGGAAAAAGTGGGTACAGAATAAGTGTTTAGAAATGTGTTTAAATCCTAAGCACCATTTTTACATCACCTATCTGCCGTACTACATGTACCAGCAAATTCGATAACTGCATGCAATTCGAGTTCTAAGGCAATATATGAGATATCTGTGCCAATTAAATAAAGCACAATGTTCCCAAGCGTGGACATATTAGCAAAGCTAAACTAGGTTTACCAGCAAAACAATTCATTGTCTGGTTAATAGTTAATTGTGATTGGTTCTTAGTTGTTTTATGCAGAGCACATACAACTACAGGGTGAGTAAAAAAAAAATGTAGGGACCATTGTTTTAGTGCAGTTCTGCATGTAGCACTTTCAAACTCTAGGATATGAAAGCCCAATTCATAAGCACTTATGTACTTTTTAAGTTACGGAGTTTTAAACACAACCGCCGTTTTAAGGTTCTGTCCACGGATCGCAACAAGTTCAATGTCCTTTCCGCAAAACGAAAACAAATCACATAGGGATGTGTGTGTGAATTGTTTGACAGTATAAAATATGTGCTGATTTTATCAAGAAAACGGTTATTTTTATATCTATTTCAAACGCTGGTCGGCCGACCAGCGTTGGAAAAACTGGCTTTTTCCAAATACTGCCCCCGATTTACCATATTTAGTTAGTCCGCATAATCGATTACACAGCTATGAATTGGGTACAAGCCAGCTTGACTGGTTCCCTGATCTTACAATTCCCAGACGTCTATAAATTGCTGTTTAATCTTAAGTGGGGTCAGGTAACCAGACTTCAAACAAGTCAGTTTAACAATAATTGCTATAAAATACTATCCCCAAAATCTAATCATTTTTGAAAATTACAGCAAAAGCAAAAGTTGTTTATTCCCTGCAAATTGTTTTCAGTTAACGACAGAAAACACCTGCACTGTGCTAATTGAATGTCGCATAAAACAAAGTGTGTTGTGAATCACATCTAATTAACATGGCACGACCCAGCTTCACCGAACTCCGTCAAAAATTAACTAATAGGCCATCAGCCTCGGTCCAAGATTTTGGCCACCGATATCAAATGAGGGAAATAATTGTCATAGCGATTTTTGGCAAGGTATACACCTCCAGAGTTGGAAAATATGTGATAGCACTGCAGTGGTGGCAGCTTTTTGGGTGTTATCACCTTTTTTTTCACAATGTCCATCAAAATGCTTGTTACCGCTCTAGGGGCGGTATACCTTGCGCATGCGCACTATAATCACTTATGCCCTGATTTGATACTGACCAAACCCCAGGCTGATGGCCTATAATCAAAGTACAGAGTCCAAGAAAACAAAAAAAGGATGGTTCGTCGATTTTCATCCGACTCAAATTCACGAGGTATAGGCCTTTACTATACCCCACGAATAGACCGAGTTTTGACATTTTCAGTCAATGACAAAAAAACCTGCACCCTGCTAAATTAAATGTCACGTAAAAAAAAAAGTGTGTTGTGAATCACATCTAATTAACATGACACGACCCAGCTTCACCGAACTCCGTCAAAAATTAACTAATCGCAAGTACAGAGTCCACGAAAACTGACGGGTGTCTCGTTGATTTTCTTCCGACTCAAATTCACGAGGTATATGGGTGAGAGGGCGGTGGTAGTAACTGAAGTGACCAATTAAGTTTGATTGATGAATAGTTATCATTTACCTAAAGTGCTAGAACTGACCAATCAGAGGCCGGGCCTGTAATGGTTGGGAACGGTTGCTGTGGCAACGGAAGACAGCCAAGTGATGCAAGCAAACACGAGAGACCTAACGGCGCATAGTGTCATGAGAATGTGCCTCAGGGAGGTTTGTTTCGTTGCCAAGACAATGAAAATGTTCTGATGGGCTTTATACAGGGTGAGAAAAAAAAACCGAAACCATACGACAGGAACAATTTTTGATTGAAGTTCTGCCTGAAGTCAAAATCTCGGATATGAAAGCCCAGTCATTACTAAGCTTTCTTTTAGTACAAGAACCATTCAAATCAGTCATGTATGTTTCAAGTTACGGAATTTTGAACACGAACACCGTTTTAAGTTCTGTCAACGAATCACACAAAAAATAATTTTTCTTTCAGCAAAACGAAAACAATTCTCATAGGGATGCATGTGAATTTGCCTTCTGTCATGTAAACTGAAACAACTGAAACAAATCACCAAAGAAAAGAACATTTACGACAGCGAAACATCCAAAATGCTGGAGTTTTTTTGTACTGAAATAGCTGCAACGTTGAGGTTTCCACCTAAAATGACATTACGCTTTTGCTCATAAATATGCAAATTCTCATTAAAATAAAAACCAAAAAGCACCCCAAAAAAACATGAAAATGGCAAAATGAAAATTGGAGATAAGTTCAAATGGGACAAGTATGTTTCTTCCACTTTTTACAAAAATGCTGCTTTTAAAACAGAATTTCCACAGAATTTCCATGCTGCCGCTTCTAAATGTCGTTTACCTTAAAGTATTACTATGCTGGTTAAAATACAAATAATAAGAGATCAAAATTTTGGCTTGGTCGATAAAGGGTGAATTGTATAGTGAGTAGCGCAACGCGCATACTGTTCATTTTTTTAGTATGGCATGCAAACACATCATTTACGGTTGAATTATGTATGTTTAATCGACCATTTTGAATAACACGGTCGTAAAACACTCTACATGAAATGGCCACTTAGAATAAAAACAAAAATGCGGATACGTGTATACATGCATGTGGTTTTTGTTTTGGCTGGCATTAATGTCAATTGGCGATTGAAATAGAAATGTTCATCAATTTAAACAAAATATACAGACGTAGGTTTTTTTGGTTGGTGAAGCAGGTTCATTTGCCCAAAATATTTGTCATACAACGCCTTTAAAAAATTTGTTTTTCGAAGAGGAATTCAAAACCAGAAAAATTCAAACCGACGTACACTGAAAAATTGCCTAGGTTAATCTTACCCAAGAAAGGGTGAAAACTGGGACTACCCAAACTTGGGTTGTTCTATAACCAATTGTTTGGGTTAGAATTTCTGCCAAATTCAACCAAAAGTTGTGGTCATTCAAACCGACGTATAAACTGATGTTCCATGAATTTTCGGACAATGTTGACAATTTAGGGGGGAGGTTCTGATGATTTACTGAAAATCTGAAGATCCCAAAAATTCAGGCAGTTAAAAAAAAAGTCATTGTGTAAAATAAAATAGGAATCCTTCCGATCAAAGGAAAATGGTAAATGATCTCCGCCTAACCAAATATCAGTTACCCGCGTGAGGTATATTTTGATGAGAAACGAACTGATTGCAATCGTTAAAACAATAAAAGATATCACAAATGCAAAGTCACTCTATACGGAGCTATTTTTACAATCACATGAAAAGTGTAGTACAAACCGCGTCACTCGTCTGGGTAGTAATTCTCTAACGAAACGAAAGCCAATACTGTGATCCTTCTCAGGGCAAAGTCCACCTCTCTATGGTGATAAGGCGTCAGAGCACGAGAATTATAAAGCACGCTATGATATTGTTTTTGAAAACCAAGTACTTCAAAAGCGAAAGAAGAAACCAATGCATGTTTGTACATGGTTTCAAAAGCCATGTTTCGCTTTGGCTGTAATGTATCATTCAATTTTAAACAGATGGAAACGATAAAACCTGTGCGTCATAGGATGCTGCGGTTGTTGTAATATTCCATCCATTATAATAGTTCGAAGTGACATGAATATTTATGATTTTTATCAAGACTGTCTGACAGTCCACATTTTGGGGCAAACTAGAGCCTGTCAATATGTATAATAACATTTCCTATATCAACCTATACATGTACAAGAAAAATATTAAAACCTGCTTTTCCTAACTTAATACAGATTATGTGACTGACTTTTTAAAAAGGAATTTAATCAATTTCAACAAGAACTGTGCCTTGTTTCTACTCCTCAATCTACTTAAATGCCACGATGTTCTTTGCTTGATAACATCATTTGAATACGCTGTATCGGACATGACCGTTTCTTAGCAACCATTAATTCAGCATACCTTGGCAAGAATGAGTCATTCTTTTTTTCGCGCCAAATGTTGATGTCGGCCATATTGTTTTTTCCGTCGCCTGACTCTCCTGTTTTGGTCACACATAAGTCACAATGCCTAAGTCACACATATTTATATTTTGAAGATGTTTTCCTCATTATTGTTATATTGTACATTTAGCTCTCCATATCATTATTCCCGATGGGTGTCATTATAATGCGAGCGTGCATGTGATACCTTCAGTATGGAGTGCCTCGCGGGATTTGAATATGATAATGAAAGTTTAGGGGCACCCATAAATCATTGAGAAGTGATGAATTGAATGCCTTTCGGACGTGAGTAATTGAGTAGAACACGGGACACACACGTACGCGTCCCCAATAACGGGCGACGAAAGACAATGTGGACATCAGTGAAGTCTTTAGCAATAAATACACTGTCATACACTGTAATACACTGTAATACACTGTATTACACTGTAAATTCTTTGCAGTGGTACGTGTTTGTCTGCGTTTGTCTGATTGATCGTTTGTTTGTCCGTTTGTTATCTGTTGCATATTGACTTTGGCGTTGTTTGTTTGTGTTGTCATTGATTACTCATTGCAGGGATGTCACGATCTAAACCAAATTCCTACACATTTCGTATGAAGGAATTTTTTGGTCTATTCCCCTGGTTTAAAAGCTCCCTTTGCCAATTTCACGCTCAAACATAACAGATGACGTCATATATGTGCCATAGGGTAATAGCTGACCTAATTATACATTCAATGCTGGTCTTATGACGTCATTTTGCAAGTTGGTACAAGTTTCGTCTGTTAAAGTGACAACCGTCATTATTATTACAGTGACATGTGCCCATTAAAACCGCTGACATTACAGCATGTCGGCCATTTGGGTGTTTTCCAAACCACGGTTTTGCCTAAGCGTAGGCTTCATATATCTCTCGCTCCAGAATCATTTATAAGTCTTGAATGTCCAATCAAATTGAAGACTTTCGTCCCTTGGTCCTAATATAAAAGAATTGTATTTTCCTTGACCGAATCATGGACATTTATTGAGCTACAGTTCCCAGAAATTGGTGGCCTAAAAAAATCTCCAGCAGCCAAAACCCCAAAAATTACAAGCTTGGCGGGTCGAGTGTTTCCACTGGATTTACTCCCGCTGGGAAGCAGCCATATTCTGTTTACCTGAAGTCTCCTCAACTAAAGATCGGCCGAAAATCTCCTGAAGCCGATAACTGCAAACGAAGCCGATGTTTGAAAAATTCAATGTTGTGCTCTTACCTGTAAATATAAGGCGTTGTTACTCCAGCTAGCGGTAGCGAAGGGCAGGCGCCTGGTATAAACACAAACGCGTACAGGCCGCCAGAGATCACGGTGAAAATGCACAAAACGTTTATGGTGGTCATGAGGTCACGCTTAACCCGGTTTAAGATGATGCCGCCGATGACCACGCCCACTGCGCCGACGGGAACCAGTGTACCTGTGAAGTAAACCAAGAAATTATCATAACCTGGTTTGAAAGGAGTAACTAGTCAATAAAGAGGTTAAGACTTAACAATGGTTTATGAAATACACTTTTATTAGGTTAATGAAGTACAGGTCTCTTTTACTTATTTTGTTGACTTTCCGAAGTACCTACCTACACTGAAAAATTACCTGGGTTAATTTTACCCAAGCAAGGGTGAATACTGCAACTACCCAAAATTGGGTTGTTCTTTCCCCAATTGTTTGGTTTAGAATTTTTGTTAAATTCAACCTAAACTTGTGGACCTACCAGACTAAATTTAATTTGGTCTTGTAGGCCTATGACCACATCAGGTATTGGTTGAATTTAACAGGAATTTTAACCCAAACAATTGGGTAAAGGACAACCCAATGTTGGGTGGTTGCAGTTTTCACCCTTGCTTGGGTAAAATTAAACCAGGTAATTTTTCAGTGAGCTGTCTTAAATAAAAAATAACTTAAGAGTATTCAAACTTACCCTGTTTTCCTTTTCTTTATAAAACTACGGTAATAACCGCAGTCACTTAACATGTTGTTGTTATACATATTTCTATTGAAAACCTGTTGCTATCATTGTTTTCTTTCGTTAAATAAGAATAAGTGATCATAAGTAATTTTTCAAAATCTATCTAAAAAAATAACGCACATATTAACAAAGTACACTATACCTTTAAATATGACTTTAACAATAACGGTATAGTTCATTAGCACGGTTTTACTGTTAGGGGCTTTATGAATATATTAGCATACAATTATCATAAATCTACATAATAAGCAACAGGGCGTGACCCACCTGTGACCAGGTTCGCCGTGGAGGCGCTGAGATTGAACTGGTACTCGATAAACTTGGGCGAGAATCGGACAAAGCCCGTCACGATGCTGAACTCCACCGCAGACGCTATGTTGATCATCATGTAGATGGGGTTCTTCAGCAGGTTCCATATTGCAGGGGGAATGTCTTTGCATGGAAAAGTGCAAGGGTGGTTGTTCAAAAGTGCGACTTGAAACGAGGCAATAAAACGGACCGTTCGCGAACGCCACTCTAACTGTAGCTAGGTTAATGTCTTTATTTAGACAGTAAATATTTGTCTTGTACGTACCTTGTGTACGGACATACAATGTGTACAAAATACTAAGTATTTTTTTACAAATACAAAAAAATGGATTAAGCAAACAACGGATACAAGTAATGGTTTTAAACTACGAGTTTAAAACCAGGCGATTTTTTAGTATTAGTGATACGAACTGTCCATTACAAATTATGCTTGGTCAGGTTTCGGCTACGTCCGGAACAATTCGGTCAAAGTCGGGTTGAAGTGGCTTCAAGCATTTTTCATATCCATACAGTTGCAAAACGTCTACACAAATATTCTGTAGATTAATCATTAGTAGGAAGCTGCATCTCCAAGCGATTATTACAAAACCGTAACTTGCCACAAACTGATCACAATATTTCACAAGACACAACTTTAAATATCAGGCGCGTTATAATCATTCCACGTTGATAAATCAAAATATCGTGTAATACTCAAACACTTCAAAACCCCTCAATGTTCTGATTGGACTACAATAGTACAGTTTCTGTGAAAACTTTGAATGGGGCAACAACAAAAAAGAAAGAACTTACTTTTTAAAGCGATGTGACTGAAGGTCATCATGACCTGCTGACTATCGTCCGAGTCGGATGCGACCGATTTACTGTCAGTTGCCTGAGATTCCTTCGCCGGCACATCGTCCTCCATCCCAGGCTTTGGTAGACGGGCCGGGAAGGCGTAGACCGGGATAGCGGTGACTGCGATAGTTGCTGCACAGATGAAGAACCCCAGCCACCAGGCCCCGAGCCATTCCGGGTCGTTGACCGTTAGGGAGTCTGGGGTCGCGACGTTGAAGTCGACGTACAGGCCGAGAACGAGGAAGCCCACGACGAACCCCACCCCAGGGCCGATGACGGTGGTACAGAAGAAGATTGCTGAAAGGAGAAGAACGAAGAAACATCAAAATTAACAGTTGAAAAAAAAATAGAATAGAGAGGAATTTTAACCTGCCACCTATGCGGAATGGACCTTTCAAGTTTTAGCCATAAGCTCCGCCCACCTCTGTTCTTCGTATACTTCTCACGAGTTTGACTTGGTTACCAAAGTCACCTCGCCAAAAGTCGCGATCTCATTGGTCAATTCAAACTGACTGATTGGCAGGCAGGATATGAACCATCGACCAATACGGAAAATCGCACCAGTGGCCAACCAATTGAGCTATCAAGCCTATGCTCAATGTATTCGTCATAGCTGTATTATGTTTGACCGGGATCATCAGAGGATGGACAAATAAACGAAGAAACTGGTGAGAAATTTGCCAACAGTTTAAGTAACTCCCCATCATTTTGGAAAAGTAGGAAATTTGTTCAGACACTTAAGGGTGGGGAAAGCAAAGACAGTACTGAACAGGGTAGTGAATATTTGCCCTCTAATATTTACATGGAGATCAGTTTATATCCCTATATAAAAGGCAAGGGCAGCCAGTCCTTGGGTGTTGCCCGCCGACAACGCCACGTTCCATGGTTGAAAACCGGATCTTCAACCATTAATTATTACCAGGATCACAAGGGGATAGACAAATACTTGAAGAAACTTGTGAGACAGAATCCGGGTCCAAATAATCTATTGATGAAATTAAACTCACATTTCGAATAATTAAATATAAGGATGTCGAAGTAACAGGATGGGCGCTGTCGGCCGTTCCCCTGAGACCAGCTGCACGAGCATGGCAACGTGGCCCGTAGGTAAAGGCATTATTACGCGATATAGAGGTTTAATAATCCACCACATGATTAAAAGGCTAGTCACGGAGCTATCCCTTGAGTTTGGGGAATTCTAGAAATGCTTCACAACAGCTGGATAGTTACAGAGATTTTTAATAGATCGAAATTTATATCGAGATTTATACAAAGCTGGATGTTGTGGCCACGTGGCGCCCACTTTCAGCACACTGTTATCATCTGTGCTGTTTCTCTTGAAATATGATGGTTTAAAGCGTTGACATTAACTGTTTAATGTGGGCCAAAAAGTCATGCAAAATATCCTAAATGTTCGGATTGCCCAGCTATTGCCTGTCGGCATGACGTCACGGGGCAAGTGACCTATACACTATAAAATCTGAAATGTTAACATACATAATAATACCCAGTGAAATCGTCATCTATCACAATCCACAGTGATCGATATGCATTATCTCTGCATAGCTACAGTTAGGCAATACATGTACATTCAGGATTTATAATGTAATCAAACTTGGCATATTTTTCTTTTGGACAGACTGCTTCGTGCCATAAGGCACTCATCAGCACTCAATAGTGCCTTACGGTACGAAACAGTCTGCCCAGTACAAAAAAATATATGCCAAAGTTTGTTGAACTCATATCCTGCATTTATTGCATAATATATATAATATGCAAACATAATATAAAAACATGTAGCATCTACAGTGGATCCGTGTGTTATCGTAATACCCCGTTGTACAGCTTACCACTCCCTAATCCTGAAAATACACTAATGGGATTTGGTGAGTAATAATTTGCAGGAATAAGAAAGATAGAGCTAGCCAATACGATTATGCTTGTTACTAACATTGACCCTGGGCTAGGAACCATCCTCGATCCTACAAAATCCTCCAATTGCCGCCATGTAAAAATTGGATTCAGCCTCAATCCTCCAAAATCATCGTTATTTCTTGAATTTGTTCAGTGGAGGGGTGACCATTGCCTCAATCCTTCAAAAAATCTCCCAACAAGCACTGTTAATGGGTTGAGGCAGTGCCGATGACATTCAGACGCAGTGCCGATGATATCGTACATAATGCAGGGCTCATTATTATGCATGACTGAACATAAACGAAGCTGGGTATAAACGAACTCGAAACAATGCATCCTCCAAAATCAACCGACCGACAATTTTTTTTTGCCATTCAGCCTCAATCCTCCAAAATCCTCCAAAACTGCCTGGAGGATTTTGAAGGATTGAGGAGGGTTAGGGTTGTTAAAGAATATGCCTTAGGCTTCATGCCTGTTGGAGGTTCCCAGAAGTATCGTCACCAAAAGGGCGAGAGAGTTGTAAGTTTCACAGATTGTTCAATGCAGAAGAGAAAAGGGGAACACCCATGTACATACCAACTTACATCCTAAATGTATAGGCCTAAACAATGCAACGGACTACTGCGAATACAAATGTAGTTCGAAATAACAGGGCGTGGAGGTTTTGTTCACGTATGGAGTTAACAAAAACTTCCTTCAAACATCGATTCCTCTTCTCTTTTGGATCGGTGATAACAACCTGATACTAATAACCGAAACAAAATCGGACTGGGGAACAATCGCGGGGCGTGTAGCCGGCCTTCATTTTGGATGAGTCCAAATCCGATTTCAGAATCGATTTATAAGAGGAACTCAGGTCTATAATTATGTCTTGTTCCATGTACTGCTCTTAAAGGGCACATGTAATGTAATTGTTTTAATGCAATCCTTGAAAATGCACGTTTGAGTCCCACTTAAACTTTTTTTGCTATTTTTATTCTCTCGATCATTTCGGTGCCCTTTTGATTTTTATGATAATGCCATTTTCTATATTCATGAGCAAAAGTGTGGTGTCATTTCAGGCAGAAACCTCTATGTTACAGCTTTTTCAGCACCAAAATTTGCCAGATGTTTGGATATTTTGCTGTTGTAAATGTTCTTTTCTTTGGTGAATCGTTGTTGTTTCGGTACATGTCAGTAAGCCAATGAGCAAAGTTTTCTCACAAACATTTTTCATGAGCACATTTTGGGTTCACAATTTAAACAGAAAACCTCAGAAGTGAACGGTGCATTCCTGACATGACATCACAGCAACAGCGCCCTCATTTGTCAGGAAAATCATGATTTTTTTTAAAAATATTTAAACAGTGCACTTTTCGATAAAATTACTCAAGAAGGTGCGTTAAATAGTTCTCATAAAAGAGGAACAGAAAGTTGTACAAGATATGTTGCAAAGTAAGATTGATGTCGTGAGCCCTTTACGCGGTGATTATGGCTGAGAATATTAAATTTTAATCCGAGATTACTAGAGCAATACGCTTAATTATTAATGCATACTTTCAATACTTAACCGTGTATCACTCTGTGCTGATAATCGGATGATGAATGTTATATTAATCCTCCAAACAGTTAAAAGATAACTAAATTCGTTTTGTTATATGTGGATTTCCCGTTGTTACAGTTCAAAGGTTTGTTTGATGAAGCGTTACCTCCCAGAGTTCTCTCATTACAATCGAGATTACGTTAAAATTGAAATGAATACATGTACGTTACGACGCTGTATGAAATCGGAACGCCTATTTGATGGCATCTGCAGCGTGCATGGTAATCCTCACTCACTGCAAACATTGACAGCGCTGATGTAACGTCGGTAATTACTTCATCAACAGCTGATGCGGTTACAAAATATTATTACGGTTTATTTTGAGCTAATGATAAACCAACTGGTTACTTTTCCTCTAAATGTGATCACCGATGACTAAATCTATGCCAATTTTGCGGACAAAATTCTCCCATGATTGTTATAACAAATATTTCAAACTTTGGAAACCGATAATTCTCTGTATAACTCTTGTTTGCTATGATTTTGATGTGAACAAATAGTCGAAAGGGCCCATTCAATGTAAGGTTACTAATACTATCCTTTAAAATACACATTTGTGTCCCATTAACCTTTTGTTTAATTTTCATTTTACCATTTTGAAGGGTATTTTGGTGCCTTCTGGTGTTTATGCTAATGCAAAATACTGCCCATATTCATGAGCAAAACTGCGGTGCCATTCCGGGCAGAAACCTCAATGTTTCAGCACTATTTTAGCACAATGTTTTTTAAAAATGTTTAAAGAAACGCACTGTTAAATAAAATTAACCAAAAAGGGATGTCAAATAGTTTTCAAAAATTTAAGAGGATTAGAAAATTGCACAAAATGTATTCATCAGAAAAATTCATCGCATGCCCCTTTCATATTTGAAAGATGCGACTGTTACGCAGCTGGGGTATGTATGAGTAAACGTCTCGTGCAATCGTTGTTTTCTAAATTAATCAAATGAAACATTGCTGATGCAGATAATGCAGAATCTAGTGTCACAACACAAATTTAGCTTCAGCCTCACCAATTTGTGACATTGGTGGCAAAAACTGGCATATTGAAACTCATTAAAGGTAAGGGCAGGCAACGATAATAGCTGTGTGATAGTGATCTATAATTTATACGAGCCGTCATGCCATATTGGCGACTGGTATTCAGCAGTTGCTAGCAAAAAATGCGACCCGCACATTAATTAGCTGCACCAATGCAGCGCATTGCGCTGTTAAATTACTAAGTCGTTAAATGTCACCACACTGTCTGCTGATTAAGCGTTCGAATGCGTACACGTACCAGCAGCTGATGCGATGGTAAATTGGAAATTTTTATTATTTTATTAAACTCTTACTCCTAATGTTTTTTTTAGGAACATTCCTGCATCCTCCAAATCAACTGCTGTGCAGGAACCCAATGGCACGCTCTTTGTATCTACCAAGTTTCAAGGTGCATCAAGCCCCATGTTAAGTAATAGTGGCTGGGCTCTACCTCCCTCAATCCTACAAAATCCTACACTGTGCAGGAACCCAATGGCACACTCTTTGTACCTACCAAGTTTCAAGTGCAACAAGCCCCATGTAAAGTAATAGTGGCTGGGCTCTACCTTCCTCAATCCTTTAATCCCACAAAATCCTCCACTGTGAAGGAACCCAATGGCACACTCTTTGTATCTACCAAGTTACAAGGGGCATCAAGCCCCATGTAAAGTAACAGTGGCTGAGCTCTACCTTCCTCAATCCTACAAAATCCTCCACTGTGCAGGAACTCAATGGCACACTCTTTGTACATACCAAGTTTCAAGGGGCATCAAGCCCCATGTAAAGTAATAGTGGGTGGGCTCTACCTTCCTCAATCCTACAAAATCCTCCACTGTGCAGGAACCCAATGACACACTCTTTGTACATACCAATTTTCAAGGAGCATCAATCCCCATGTAAAGTAATAGTGGGTGGGCTCTACCTTCCTCAATCCTACAAAATCCTCCACTGTGCAGGAACCCAAAGACACACTCGTTGCACCTACCAAGTTTCAAGGAGCATCAAGCCTCATGTAAAGTAATAGTGGCTGGGTTCTACCTTCCTCAATCCTACAAAATCCTCCACTGCGCAGGAACCCAATTGTACACTCTTTATACATACCAATTTTCTAAGTAGCATCAAGCCACATGTAAAGTAACAGAGGCTGGGCTCTACCCTACTCAATCCTACATAATCCTCCACTGTGCAGGATTGAAATGGCACCCTCTTTGTACCTACCAACTTAAGCTTCAAGGGGTATCCAGCCCCATGTTAAGTAACAGTGGCTGGGCTCTACCTTCCTCAATCATTACAAAATCCTCCACTGTGCAGGAACTCAATGGCACACTCTTTGTACATACCAAGTTTCAAGGAGTATCAACCCCATCTTAAGTAACAGTTCCAAGGCTCTATCTTCCTCAATCCTAAAAAATCCTCTAAAACCTCCTCGTAAGTTTTGAAGGATCTGGGAGGGTTTGAATTAAACACGTGACAAAAACCTGAGTAACACATAAGCCATTTGAACAACTTGATCCTTGCCTAAACCAGCAAATTCCAACGTCTGATTTTACTCGGTTCTGATTGATGCAACAGAGTAGCAGGCTCAGCTACCGATACTTTACATTTGTACGTCGATGAATGTTGAAAATGTTGAACTTTTTTTTGCAAGCTTTATTTTAACACTGTATGAATATAACCGACCACGCATCAGTGACACTTTCCGTGCAAATTGAATTTGGCAGACATGCCTCAAGGGTGCGAACCCGTGTTGACCCGATTCAAAAGGCGACGGGCTTGCAGACATTTCAGAGCACACGTAGAACGTATGGAGTACAAGGTCACAAATACTCATAAATTTTACAGAATGTGAAAACCACATAAAGGATATCGGCAATCTTTTGTGCGGAACAGAGGAGTGCTGTGTTATACACGGTCAATTGATGAATACATAAATTATATGTATTGCTCGCTGAAAATATTGGGGGAAGAATTAGGCAGTTGTAGGCAGATGTACGACAACCGCGCTGCATCCCTCATGTTCTGAACACAATATGGGGGCTTTGTGCAATGAAGGATGTGTTAATCTTCATATCTGTTCACTTAATGTGTGAATGTGGCTTTGTAATTCGAAGCCAAATTGTGTCCATTTTTAGTCCAGTTGTCGCAACTAAGGTTCATGTCCCATCACCCTCCGTCCTCGAGAGGACCCTTACATCGTGTTTGAAAGAGAGGCAAACTGTCGCTGCCGGAATGGATTAAGCACAGTGTAAATGCTAAGCAACTTGCATAAAATCGCTGCGAGATCTCCTATATTCTGCAAGAGCCTCGTTTTGATTTCAATATGGCGTCCCCGTACAATGAGCCCGTGTCATCGTTAGCTTGAAAGCGAGGCTGACCGGCAAGCAACTCGAAGACTTTAATTGGTTCTTACGCAATAGCTTAGCAACCTCTGTAACGATGCAATACAGCCTCTCTTCAGCAATACTTGCCTCACTTTGGATCCAATATGGCGTCCACGCAGGGAGCCAATTTCAACAAACGTTACGCTACACGTACACTTAGCTGTGAGTGTGACACCGTCCCTGACCTCCTGTTCATTTGTTCATCAGGTGTTTTTTTGTGTATTAAATGCGTTCTTCATGCATGAATAATAGTGTCCCTGTGCTATATAGGAGAGAGCATTTACCTATTATCATCTTCCCATTCAAAAAAGAAGAATTCGGCCCTGGAGGGTTGAGTGCCCTTTGCGCTGTCAATTAACCTTGCTCAGGTCACAATTCCCCGTTTGTTGCAATGATCGCTTTAATAGTGGAACCATGGGTCAAAATATTTTGAAAACATGGAAACAAAATAGAGTTGGTACACACAATTCACTTGGGCTTTTGTTTGCGATGTGCGTCGAGTCGTCGACAGACATTTTGGGTAACAAGCAGCACGCGATGCAGAATCAAAGTTGTTTGTCCGCATGGATTATTCGTGTGTACGTTTCGACTTAATTTTTAGTTGGGAGATACCAGTACATAGGCCTACATGTATTATTTGAGCATTCCGAACTGTGTAATGCGAGAGTAGACGATCGATTCCACAAGAGCGATCGAGTAGAGTCGAGATTTCCAGAGAATCGATACAATAAAACAAAACGGTCCATGGTCCGCTTCTGCCTTCTGTATAGTCTTTCAGTACTAACTCCACATGATTTTTTCAACCTTGCTGTTGTTGATACGTAGAACATGCTCTATGAGAAGAAACCTAATGCAACGCTCTACCTACGGTTAATCTCCAGGGGCATCAGTCCCATGTCAAGTAAAAGTGGTTTACTTTTATCTGCCTTAATTCTGGAATCCCTGAAACTTCCTTGTGTATTTTAGGGGATCTTGGGAGATAAAACGTAAAAGTTAATCCTGCAAAAGTCCGCACAAAATTCCTATTGGATTTTGAAGGGTCAGGGAGTTACGGGTTAAATTTTGCAAATCCCCAAAATCACAAGGTGGCTGTTAAACGATCTTGGAGGACCACCTTGCAAAATCTCCCAACCGTTTAGTGGAATTTGAAAGATAAAGGACGGTTTTGGGAAATTTTTTAAAGACCTACCTAGGAGAATCGGTGCTTCGCTCTTCCGCACGTAGTCGTCGATGTACGTCGTCCCTAGCGTGAACATGGAGGTGGACCCAGCACCAATCAACAGCATCCCTGGGATCAGGAAGGCTAAGGCCACGGTCTGAGGCTCCTGCGACCCGTTGCACTCCCCCTCCGGACTTTCCGTGGGCGAAGACACTCCGGGCTCCGCGGAACAGAGCAGAGATCCCGTGGAGTTGCCGCCGTTCCCCGGGGCGTATGTCCCCGTTGCGAAGTGGGACAAGGGCACGATGCAGGCTCCGAGAGACATGACCCATGCGGACCAGGCGATCCATTGCGGGCGGTTGGACGCTGCTCGGCCCCCGTAGTAGCTGGTAAGGACGACCAGTAATGTCCCGATGTCGTAGCAACTGACGACGAACCCTGCAAAGGAGATACAGAAAAAAAACTCAATTCAATTTGAAACTTATGACAAGTCTGTGAGTTAACAGGAGTTAAGCAGTCAGGAAAAAACCCTAAAATCTGGCTGGATCCCAGGAAGACCGGAAGTGTGCATTGAAGTGGTATGCTGCATTGCATGATGGGACAGTGTGGTCTGTGAATGAGGATTTTGTGAAGCGAAAACAGTCCCACAATGCAGTTTCTATAAGCTTTATTCACAAGTCGGCCATATCAAATTGAAATTAAATCTTAATTTTTGGAACATGCGAAGAGAAATGAAAGCAATGACATAAACTTATTTACAAATTAATAGCAGTCTGCTCTGGTGAATAATTTACAATCTGTGATTAAACATACCCTCATGTTCTAAGCAACATAAAAAAAACCAAAGAGAGGCTAGAATGCATAAATAGTCTGGCACCAGCCCATTTAACAGTCCACAACTTATAAAATACATTCAGGAACACGACCAAACATGGCTTCCTCGTGAAAGAGGGCAATACCGTTTGCTTGTTGTCAATGAAGAACATTTCTACGTATTCTCACCTGCTGGAACGCAAGCGTCTAATGACGCCTAACGGTATTATTTATAGGCCTGCTCCTGGTTGTGAAGAGAAACAAGTGGGGTCAAGTGGCTTGCCAAAGGGCACAGCATAATAGCCGGTAACTGGAATCGAACCCCTGACCATGTGACCACAAATCACAAACCCTATAATCATTAGGCCATGTACAATTCATAAAAACCCAAAAACCCATATTCTAAACTGGTTTAGAAATATTATAGCACGACACATGCCTGGGTTTTTTTCTAATATCGAAAATATTATTTTACTTTGTTTGAAACTGGAACACATGATTAAAAATAGTGAGAGTAATCTATCTTGTGGATATTGATACATTTGGAGCAACCTTATCAAATATCCTGAAGAAAGGACAACGATCACTCGTGATTAGTCGGTCAGGCCAGCAACTAATTGCTATATTTATTATTGGCTGGTATACCCGCGCAAATGGCACATAAAATTAAACTATGGACGTCACTGGTACAAGTAGGTGAAGTCTAGTCCCCTGAAACTGTTATAATCTCTAACCCCGAGCATTTCCTCGGGACTACCTTGCTAAATCCAGCAGAGTCCAACCGGAGTTTCCTGCTCTATCCACCGTGCCTTATTTTCAGTTGTCTGCTGAATCCAACGGAGTCCAACATGGCGTTATAATGCGGTTCAGTTGCCTGCTGAATCCAACATTTTGCACCAGGAATGTACACAAGGGTTTACTGCTCAATCCAACAGGCTCCATTGGGTATACGATATAGTTGGATCCTGATGGATTCAGCAGGGTTAAGGCTGCACTGGACTTTTTATAAGTATACAGAAATCGTGGAATATTATTAACTGAGTTAATTTTTAAGAGAGCTTGTATAGTTTGGAAGACGGGTTTTTGTCAAATCTGATCAAATTTACACGACATGCACTGTTTAATTTGACCTTAAACATGTCGGCCCCAGGGTAATTATATAAATACGTTTATGGAACAGCTGTTTTACTTATTTGTCCCATCCGGTGCATATTTATATAATCGATTATTTCGTTAATTCGCTGTAGTCTGTGGGATTATTAATGAATTAACCACGCTATCGAGCATAGAAAACTTCAATGTGGCATTTAGCGCAACCTTTGTTTCAATAATTTCTTGAAATACGAAAAAAAGTGCGGGGTCATCATAATAATTATGTTGATAGGTGATATGTTGTGAGGGTTTACGTTTTAATAGTGGAGTCGGTTACTTACATGTACATGTTTTCAGGACTGAATATAAGAAAGGATAGTAAAGTTTGTTCCACCTGCGAAGAATTTGATCACAATTTATGATTTTGTGAACACTTGTTCTTTTTGGGGTCTAATTATGTAGAGGACACTGAATGAATCTTCAAATATCGAGCAATTACACCTGGACGGACTGCCAACAACAAGACACCACTTTTACCTCCTGTTAATATTGATTGAACAGGGTGAGTCAAAAATAAAGTGACCCAAATTATTATTTTTTTTCTTACAAAGCAAACAAATTTGAAACACCAATGAAATATATCTGAAAAGGGCATGTAGTTCCACTCATCTTACAAAACAAATTGCTGAAATTGATCCATGCTATCAGATGTTATGCATGTTTAACTAAAATACGTGTAACCCATTTTTATAGCTGTCTATGGCATGCCATTAGAAGCTAATATTGAGCTTAGTCAGAATTACAGATTACACACAAGCATTCAATTACAAATGAAATTTTAATCAATTGAATGAAGACTGAAACATTAATTTTACTGTCAGATTTTGTGTTTTGAATATGAGGATCAAGTCATCAATTTTTTTTATGAAATATTAATGGCGATTTTGGTATGTTTCCCTTAGCAAGTTCTCCTACATTCATCGAGGTGGGAAAAAGTCCATGTGTCATTGTATTTAATGGGTATTCATCAGTTCGTAGAACGGTAAATGATCAGTGGTGGACAGCTGAATTGTGTGATCTTGATATTAAAATAGACGCAACTTGGGAATAGAGTATGCAAATTACCAGACAGGGCTCTGGGGTGCTCTGAAACGTGCAAAACTAAATCAACCCAACTTTACTCACACTTTAGCCAGCAAATTTCTCCAAAAATTCCACTGGGGCAAAAAAAATGTCCTCAGTATTTCACCAACCAAGTTTGCAGACTCAATTCAATTTTAAAGGAAACTTTTCTTCATTACATGAGAGGGAAGTCAAGTGATTTCAAAATGGGGCTAAATACTAGACTGGTACATGTCCAGCCATGGTCCAACTATTTGAAAAGACTGACCTCTTCATTCAGTGTCAATAGTCTGGTGGCTTGACTATGGAGAAATGTGTAGTAAATTGAGACTAGTTCCCGCTTCATGCCACATGTTTCTTTTGGCATGGTTGATTGATGCAGTACTGTGTTGGACTGGTTGTTTTAGGTGCCAGTCTATTTTCTTGGTTTGCATGTTTTCAATACCTTAAGGTTTTGGACTCTCATACACAGTACAAGGGCGGATCCAGGGGGGGGGGGGCCAAAGGGGGCCATGCCCCCCCCCCCCCCAAAAAAAACGAAACCAATTTTTTTTTTTTATGTGACGTCGCCATAAGGGCAGGCAATGAGTACACCACCATCTTTTCCTCAAAAAACATTGGTTAAAGTGGTCAGAAATTGCCTAAGATTGCACCACAGAGCATCTAGAATCCAAACAATTTTCGGGGCCCTTAAGCGGGCCCCGAACCCCACGCCGTAATTTTTTGACCCACTTTTTTGGGGACCTAATTTTTTTTTTGGCCCCCCCCAAAAAAATTGTGTTCTGGATCCGCCCTTGACACAGTATTGAGAGTCCCAAAGTTTCGGACTAGCAAATTACGTGACACTTTCACAGTGACTAGTCGATAACATGTACTTTATGCCTGTTTTTTTATGAAATGAAGCGAGCTACGTATTGTTTTATTTTCAATTCGGTCAATTTCTTTTGGACTCAACCTGTACATTAATTAATATTTTAAAATGTCTAAACTTCTGAATGTGATAATGTTAAATGATATACATAAAACCTAACTCCCTACCATGATTTACTAGGAACCATACCCATCCTGGCAAATTCCAAGGCAAACTGCACACACATACTTCTGACTTTGTTTCTGGAGGTGTGCCAACCCAATGTAAAAGACTGTCAGTTTAGGGGTACTCGTACCCATCCTGACAGATTCCAACAAAACATGCTGTTGGGGTTTGATGGGTTGAGTTCGGTTTGCTCCTTTTAATAGAATGCGTTAGAGACGATGAATTATTGTTTCAATTTTAATAATCTACAATACGAGGTAATAATATTGTCAGCCGGAGTGTGACACTTTGGTATTTTCCTTCATGTTTACATCGACTGTATGAACAAAAATTGCAAATATGCATATTTGAAGGTATGTGATCGTTAGTTGAGGGGCTCTCTTGTGTTTGTCCCAAACAATACATGTCGATGCTAGCCATTCAATTGTGTGAAGATTGGGCCATTATTTCATGTTGACATAGAGTCCTGCAGACATCATATTTTGATTGTACATGTATTTAACTCCTATGGAAACATGCATTCTGAGCCATGCTGTTACTTGGGTCAATATTGGTCAAGTGACCCTTTGGTTTGTTAAAAGTATGCCAGGGGAAGTGGAAGGAAATTTTGACCGTTTGTGACCGTTTAAACAGCAGGAGGGTTACTAATTCATTCATTCAAATGGGCAGTTTTTTTTATAATTTGGTGTCGGAGAGAAGAGTTCCATATCTGGACATCACTTGAAAGTTGACTCCCTGCGCACAAACCCTATGACTATGAGACTGGTATGAAAAATTCCAAGTGTTTTCTTAATGGTTCAATATTTTCCCTGCTTTTTTGACTTTTTAGGATGAGTACTGCTTTCTGATGGCCGATAGGTCACTGCAGGTGACAATTAGTGATGTCCATGTATGGAATTCTTCCCGATCCGTGTTTCACCAAAATGTATTTGATTTTACTGACTTCTTCATAGCACTGTGCAATGCTGACCGACCATGTGTGATGCAAGCAACATGTACATAATTATGAACCAACATTGCTGGGCCTATTCAAGGGCAAAAATCTAATTTGATTGCTGGGCCTATTCAATTTGTACCTGTTAGCGTGCTGCTGAAGTTGAAGTTCAGCTCAATGCTGGTGACGACACTGCTGATGTACCCAATGGTCAACCCTGCCTCCGTGAGGGACAAGAGACTGCAGAACAAGACGAAGAACCTCCCCGATGCTAGACCCTGTAGACACCGGGGTTTCCAACAGCAGTATCCGCAAGTGTTTTTCGGTTGGTCCACGGTGGTTGGAACAGTACCGTTCATGTCCTGGTCCGTGTAAGCGTGGAGTGTGAGGTGGTTGCGCTTGGGCGATCCCCGGTACGGGGACCCCGGTGTGACCGTGTCGACGGCGGGGGTCGACCCGGGGAGAACCTTGTGATTCCCCGCGGGTAAGTCCCCGTCGTCCCCGCTGGCATCGAACGCAGCGTTGGTGTAGCCATTCCGTAACCCATCCACGGCCATGGTACTCGTTGGTGGGTCTCCTGAGGAACTTCTCCCGGAGTCTATTGACGCCGTATCCAAGACCATTCAGTCCTCGGTGTTTAGCCCAAAAGGCAAACAAATACTATATGTATGTAGATTACGCAAGGTTAAATCCTCCGATTAAACAGTGCCAGGCCCGTGTTGGCACAACAATATTGCAGGCCTACACACAGCGATAACACCTGTAATGTCCGTAGCCTGCAACATTAAACTTGAAAATCAAAATCAGTCCTTTTCGTCATGTGGAAAATAATCACTCCTCCATCTCTGAACTGTCATGACTGTCGAAAATGTACACAGGTGTCTTCGCTATAAATCCAGCATTGCCAATCGTATACAACGGCACCGTGGTTCCTCCCTAAAAAATTGCGTACGTATACCTTGCGTGCGAGTGCCAGTCTGCTCGGCATCACTTATCAAACATTTCTAAAATCCGCCGATAAAATACAAAAACTGGAGGTTAATATTTAATCCGGTTTCGGCATCACGGGAAGGGGTGTTCATTATCTCGTCTCGGTTGACCTGAAAACAGTGCGCCATTTTGCACAATATGGACCGCGGAAATTCTTTTGACGTCAGACACAGCATGTCCTGTGTACGTTTAGTTGGCTGGTTGTCATTATGCTCGTACGATCATCCGCGCTGTAAATGCAAGAAACCGTCCATGCGTGTCGCGTCATTGTCCAACCTTTTAGGGGCGAGACACACATGTTGCGCACGCGGCATGCATGCATACAGCGCCAGTCGGAAAGTCCGTTAGCTTTTCTGCTAACAAAAATAATTTGTTTTGGCAACGGCATGAACAGTCAGTTGTTGAACTCAATGAGTTTGTGCCATAAACAAGCCATTACTATCTGTATGGGCATTGAAATTGTCATGACAATGCATAAAATATAGTCATAATTCTCTTCCTTTGGGGGTTAAGGTGACCATATGTTGTCATCGTATTGTGTGTGTAACTGTAAGAGATTTTATTTATTGCAATATTTGAACTCAATCAGGATAGGTCGTTTTTGTTTTTGTTTGTTTGTTTGTTTGTTGGGGTGGTTGTTTTGTTATCAGATTTACAATTTGAACAAAATGTTATTAAGAACACGCACGGTTTATATACCTTAACTATGCAGGGCATCCATTTTAGAAGGTAAACTAGCCGTTCATCTGGGAGGTGCATAGCGCCCTCTATTAAAGATGGCGACGTAAGAATTGTAAACATAACGCCCTCAAATAAAGATAATTGCCACGCGTAAGAAGTTCGGGTATTCCGTCTTAGTGAATTATTGAAATAACCAAAAAATAGCGTCCTCTATCGAAGATGGCCGCCATGGGGAATCGTATTTTTCAATGCCTTTATTATCGACAGCATGTACGTGTACTAGTTTTCACGCTAAGCTAAAAAAAAAAAATCATAATAATGTTGCCAATCGCTGTGTACATGTGCAAGAAAAAAAAGTACTAATTGGATTTATTGTGAACGGAAACAATAAATCCTGGCACTACATCATAAAGACACCGAAAACGCAACCTGCAATTTTCAATCCGTTCTAAAGTCTGACATAGATAAGCCTCTATACTAACCAAAAAGAAGGTGATTGAGAGCATGTTTGCTTCCTCATTTCTTGGTGCTTGTAAAAGATAACGATTCCTCTTGACCTCGATGAAGTTCGGACTCAAACTTCCAGAACTGATTGATCAAGAAAATCTCATTCACAAAAAACAAGGATTTGTTCTTGGAATACAATGTAACAGAATCATGTTTGAAGTAACCCATTGCGATAACTTTGATCGGTCAATGCAGACAAAGTATTCGACAAGAGATCAGCTTGGGGACGAGGTTGACTCGACCCTGTTACACCACGCACGAGCATGACTCCAAGAATCAACCTCGTCCCCAGTGCTTACTTTATTTCCAACCTCGTTTCCAATAGTACGCCCTGGATAGAAAACTTTCTTCTTGTATCCTGATCCGATGCCTCAATAGGCTAGTAATGGATTTATATCGTGTAGTTGGCGTTGTTATTTCCAACGTGCATTACGTGTTTTCACGATCATTGTAATTATAACGTCCACGCCTTCTCAGAAATACTCCTTTCCTTTCCAAGTTGCCCATATTAATATGAAATGTGATACTGCATATAACGGGATAAGATTGTAACATATTAACTTAACATTTAAATTTAACATTAAAGCAATCGTGTTTTCGTAACTCATGGCGCGACGAATTGATTCTGTTTTCACCCCAGACACCTGGCACCAGACTATACCTCAATTGCATACGTGCTCAGAAATGTTGAACATGCAAATGATCCAACACCAGGGTGAGAGAGCAGGTACAGTAGTGGGCGCGTAGCCTTGGGGACGAGGTTGTCCAAGAATGGACCACTGACCCAGAGCCGTATCATTATATAAAAAGAGCGAGTTGCGACATAAGGGTCGCACTGTTTAGAACCAAAATGGCAGATTATGCATCAGTGCACATATATAATTCGTACACAATAGTCGCACGCTGCACTGCACGCAAAAATTATGAACGGCCATTATGGTTCAACAGTCTGAAGTTGTCGCAACTCTCTCTATAAAACGGCTCTGCCCCGACCTTGCAAAGAGCGCCCTCAGTGGCGACAGGTTTCGTTATTTAAATTCAGTGACAATGATGAAAATACCAAGTGTCTGCTCATGCGTATCACAGAGGAACGAGGACTTGTCGCTAGTGAGGGCGCTCTATTCTACGGGTCTTTCGAAAACCTTTTTCGGGGACGAGCTTTCAAATAAAACAAAAAACGAAAAACTATATGATGATCTCTACCATTTTCAATTCCGCTTTTAATAGGCTCCGTGCATACCCCTTCGACGGTACTAAAGGAATAGTTGGAGGAGACCACTGGGCCTGGGAGGTTGCAAACCAGCAAGTCATGATGCCAAAAATCCGTCCAACGAGCTCATGAATAAAAGTTATACACTCAAATTGTTCTATGGCGCTCAGAAATCTCTATGTATAATATGAGAAAGTTTCTGAGAGCCATGAAATTGGAGAATGGAAAACGCATGGCCTGGATTCGGGGGCTTCCAATTCTATGAATTTTTGATGCCATTGGGTCCGAAAGCGGTGCTATTTAGCCATGTTTTCGAGGGATCCTTTTTCAAAATGGCTACTTTTCCAATTTGGAAAACAACATTTACATTAGTTGGAATATGATTGGCCATGCAGAGATCTGACGATTTCCTTCTTTGTAGTTTCAACGCGTAGCAAATGCAGGCCGGTGCTGTATTTCGCTGGTACCCTCTGCCATGCAAACAGGGCGCTGGGAATGGCTGATGAGCTTCACGAAATCTTGTGAAGCCTTAAGTGCGGACGGCATTCTGGGCAACTTATCATGACCCTCATGTCTCACATGCAGCTTTAGCGCGCGCTACGTATGATTATAAGCTGTAGCGAGTTTGTGCGATGCAATCTACGTCACACGCAAAATCTATCCAATGAGAGCTCAAAGAGATCAGCTGTTCCCAGCGTCCTGTTTGCAGGGCGGGGTACGAACGAAATACTGTATTTGTGAAGTTGCTGCGTGTTATTTAGCGCACTAACAAAATTTAAAAAAAACGGCCGATCGACCAATCGGAGCGTTCGGTGTAAAAACGGCCAGCCCTGTAGTCTGTTTGGGCTGCAAGCTCCGGGATGAAAAAAACGTTCAGACAATCAAGCGGTCACCGACGTAATAGGCATCACTTGAAAACACGAGATCAGTTTCTGCAGACATTCTGTAACATTCTTTACAAGAAAATAATCTAAATTCCCAATGTTACGACACACCTGTGTCCCACACTGAAAAGGTCTGCTTAAAATAAAATCAAACGAAATAAAAGACAAATCTCGTGTCCAACAATTGAATTCTTTTCTAAAGCCAGATCGAGAAACACAAAAAGAGCGGGAATTCACATGAAAGACAATAATGGCACCGCCACGGTAAACGGAAACCTTGATCATGAAAGTAATTGATAATTCCCGTCTTAACTCGTGATACCCTGCGATCTCTCGAGACTGGTAATAGTTCCTCCATAGCTTAACTTGAAAAAGACTACATGTACATCCGTATTAAACAGACGATAGCGTATAACTCAGATGACAACCAGGCCTCCTGGGTCATTCAAAAGCATTAAACAGAATTAAATTAAAAGTTCAAGATGAAGCACGTCCTAAGCCGATGAAGAGGTCGTTGACACTCGAAGAACCGACAGCAGTGTTCGCGTACTCTCATCTCACTGGCACAAAAGTGTAGAGTCAAGTCAAAATGCTTGCACTTGCAAGCATTCGTCATGACACGAAAACATCATCCAAGGATTTTACACTTCTGTTTCGCACTGCATGAAAAAAAGACAGCTGTTTTCACCAACTGAAGGTGGAGAAGTTGAAAATAGTTGAACATGCCTTGTAAGGAGACTATTCCAGTAAGTGATGTGTGGTTGGGGGAGGGGGGTAGGGTAATTAACTGCAAGATTCGGTCGATAAGTGCACTCTAAAATGTCATTGGCCAGATTATATTTTTTCTCAATAGTCAGTGCCAGATCAAATAGGGTACGAGGTTGAATGAACCTTGTTGGATGGCATCACTCACTACGGCTTGCAATTACACAAGTCTATGCAAAGGTGGCTGCAAAGAGCGCCCTCAATGAGTACCAAACTTTCAGTGATAATGAAAGTACAAAGTGCCTGCGCATGCGTATCAGAGAGAAACAAAGACCTTCCAGGATGAGGGCGCTCTATGCGCCCACTTTTTAGAGCAATCTCATAGGAACCGAAAAAAAAAGACATCGGTTATCAATTTTTCCGATTTCATTTGTGCTATTTTTTTATTCGACAATAAATATGTTCTTGACAACAGTGTTTGTGTTATGATAACTGGTTCAATAGGCTACACTCAAGAACCAAATTTTAATTGCACATCACAAAACATTTTATATGCTGCAACAGAGTTATACAATTTGTTGGTGTTAAGTCATAAGCGCGTGCATACTTCACAAGTAGATTCGAAACGTTTGCATTGGTGCAGTGTTGCGAATATTTGCATATGGACACGGCTCTACCCTCATGTCAGTAGTATACCGCCCTCTGTGGTTCATCACACACAAACAATTACTCACCATACAATTTTTAGAACACAATTATGATACTTCCAGTGAGTACTTGGGGAAATGTCTTAAGTCTGGTGGTATCTTGTGTTTCAGAACACCACAATAAACTATTCATTTAAATATTCAGCCTTTAGTTTCGTTTAATACTCAACGTTACATACACATTTGCATGCTAAAGTTATCATTCAATCTAAATTACATCGATGTGCTAATTTAAAGGGATATTACTTACTGGCAAAGGCCGGCAGGAATAAGCCCAATTTGGCCATAAAACGCATTTAAAATTAAATGATGTTAATTGGAAAGAGAATTAAAAGTAGGATATAAACTTCCACCAAACTATGCTTTTAAACCAGGCGTTTTTTTAATTCTTGCGAGAAGCTTGAGAAAAAGAAATTCGGGGGTCCAAATTTTGACTCCCAAAAGATGTTAAGTGCTAGTTGTGACTTGTGAATCCTGCCGCGCAGTGCATCGCATTCTGCGGACGTGCGAGAAACAATATTTTGTGTATTGATGCTGGGTTTATTATTGGCAGAATTTGGCGGAACTGAGCACATGCGAAATGAAGAATACGTTTTGCGCGCAGCGCTCTAAACGAGAGATCACGAAGCGTTATCTACTGTACGTAGTATGAAGCAATTATGATATTGATGATATTATGATTTTTAAAGTGAGTACTTGGGAAAATGTCTTAAGTCTGGTGGTATCTTGTGTTTCAGAACACCACAATAAACTATTCATTTAAATATTCAGCCTTTAGTTTTGTTTAATACTCAACGTTACATACACATTTGCATGCTAAAGTTATCATACAATCTAAATTACATCGGTGTGCTCATTTAAAGGGATATTACTTACTGGAAAAGGCCGGCTGGAATAAGCCCAATTTGGCCATTAAACGCATTTTAAACTAAATGACGTTAATTGGAAAGAGAATTAAAAGTAGGATATAAACTTCCACGAAACTACGCTTTGAAACCAGGCGTTTTTTATTCTTGCGAGAAGCTTGAGAGAAAGAAATTCGGGGGTCCAAATTTTGACTCCCAAAAGCTGTTAGGTGCTAGTTGTGTGAATCCTGCCGCGCAGTGCATCGCATTCTGCGGACGTGCGAGAAACAATATTTTGTGTATTGATGCTGGGTTTATTATTGGCGGAATTTGGCGGAACTGAGCACATTCGAAATGAAGAATCAGTTTTGCGCGCTGCGCTCTAAACAAACATATTGTCTTGTAATTAAAAGCACGTAGGAACATTTTGCAACTATCCGCAAACGTACCTAACGATTTAACGAGGACATGTGAAGATAGGACTGGTACCAAATACCCTGTGAAATTATTCCGCCTGAAATGGTATCATTCTGAAGAAAACAATCCTTGAATCTGGTTTCAGAAAATGTGCCCGCGGGCACATTTTTTTACGTCCGTTAACATCCAGTTAAGAGTCCCAAAAATTGCGCATACGTATTTTTCTCTGTTTTTTTAAAAGTGAGTATTCATGTAGCATAAACTTCAATAAGTTAGTTGCTATGCACCCTTCTTCAGATTTTGAGAAATTTTGTTACTTGAAACGGAAAGAAAAAGAAAATGCGTCAAAAGCAGATGTTCCTTTGTACCTTTATTTACATATCTGTGCCTTTGGTTACACTCTCCGCTTGGCTCTGTTGGGGCACGGCCGATTTGGATGACCTTTGACCTCGACCCGACGCGGACGCTCCTGGACGTCCGCGCCGTGAGTCAAGCCATGCCCTCCACATGGCCATCACGCGCCGGTTGCAGACGAAGGCCAGGCAGACGAGCGCCCCCTGGGTGGAGTTCAGGACGATGTAGAGGTACCAGAAGAACTCGACGCCTGAGAAGGAGGCTACGAAGCCGAAGACCCAGGTGAAACCCATGATAGCTGTTAGCTGAATTCGGAGGATAATTAAAAACAGAAGAGTGAATTCAATTCCAGTATACTTTGTTCTTGAAATGCAATACTTTTGCTACGCAAACAGTTTTACCTTCAGGTACAGGAAAAGGTCGTTGTTAGGCCTATTTGCCGCCGATCCGCTCTGCCCCTGGGTGATATTCATCCGCTTGGATGCCATCCGCGTCCTCTTGACCCCCGCAACGGTCAGAGAAAATAGGACCGCATTGGAGCAGAGAATCACAACAATCGGTACGCCAAAGGACACCAGATTGGCTGTCCCGTTGCCGACCCAGCACGCACGCGCAGTGCCGTAGGAGACGTCGGCGTCCACGCAGTCGCAGAAGCTCAAGACGGCGACGGTGGCGACGATGACGGTTGGCGCGCCCCAGCCGTAGAGGGCGTAGCGAAAGAATGACCTTTTGTTGGGGTCACTTAGGCTGGTGCCGATGCCGAAGGTGCGGTAGATGTCCACGGCAAGGATGTTCATCCAGAAGAACGCGGCGAGCCAGAAGTAATGGGAACTGATCGCGAATGTGACGCAGAGAGTGGGGACGTCAGTGCGATTAAGACCTGGTCATAAAAAAGCCCCAAAATCTTTGTTAGCATTGTTAAGTTGGCAAAGCACATTTCTATTTTCAGTACTGGGCTTATAAAATGGTCTTTTTCATATGTAAAGCGGGCTTCTGCACTGTTGTGACCCTCTGTTGACATGCCTCTAATATTCAAATCCTTGCAATGGATGGCGCTCATACTATATTCGTGTCTGCTATCTGTTCAGGGATACTTCAGGCACTTCAGTTGAGAGAGTTTTTTTTAGAGAGATTGTGCAACATTAACAAAATGCCAGCTTGCAATAAAAACACTGAGGACTGTTATTTCTATATTCATTAAAAGATACTGTGTGATGTAACACTTTGGCGTTACTTCTACTTTATGAATAGGAGAATGCATCGCCACGTGTTCTTAGAAAGCTCTACATGTGCATTTACTTACCAATGAGCATTGTTAACTGGGCAATAAAGAGCGCCGCCACCAGACTCATGAGTGCCCGACCCGCCGCGTTGCGACGCAGAGACGGGAACGCGACGTAGGTAGCGATTGTGACAACCAGACCAATCAGGGACAAGCTACTGCCGGTGGCTGTGAGAATGTCCTGGGCGGGGCCAAACTTCATGTAAGGAGGGTCGGCAGAGGGTTGAAGAAAGTTACACACCTCTACATCCCCATCGGACTTTATCTCAAACTCGCCACTACGGAGCAGGCGGTCGTGCGCCGTGAGTCTAATCGAGTCGTTGAGGGCGCCAGTGATGACGTAATCATCTTTTGAAAATGTCAACAGAGGGCAGTCGACTAGCAACTCCGCGCAGGAATCATTCTGCGAGACCACAAAGTGTCCCGAGTCCTTGTCCCGAACGTACGCAACTTTCAAAGTGAAAGCGTTGTTAAAGTTAGACTCCTCTTCAGTATCATTGGACAGTTTGTCGCAAGGAGTTAAGACTGCCAGATAGTCAGGTCGAATGGTGTGGTTCCCGACTCGACTGACAAAGCACTTGCTGGAGAGTTCATCGTTCTGAGCAATGATATGGTCAACTAAGGGCGACAGAATGTTGAAAGACACGTTGATGCTGCACGCTAAGACACTGCCTGACAGACATCCGGGTGTAGAATCCAGGATGGCGACGTCCATTGTGCATGACCACTGGACGCTAAAGTCGTCACATAATTCATCGTCTCGGTCGACCTGATTGTTCTCTGTCATTTCCTCGTCCAATTCGCAAAGGGAGGTGGTGGACTGATAATCTTTAGCAGCTTGGTGAGCAACTTCTTCCCAACTTTCATTCAGTCGATTCGTGTGTTGAGCTTCAGTATCCATGTCCAGACTAACCATGACGGTGAGGGCGACCTCGACGTTGGACTTCAGGCCAGTTGATTCATTCTCAGTCTCGCGAATTCTCGCGCATCCCACGCCGCCGTCGCGTAGCGCGAAGCCTTCCGGGCAACTCAGGTCTAGGCAGGAGGACGAAAAAGGATCGTAGATTTGACGGTGTGTGCAGGCAGTGTCGCTGCCCACAGACCCAGCAACAGTGAGATGTCCGCCGATGTCTGTGCGGTCAGAGAAAACCAGCAGTGTAGCCATGGAGGCAGGCCTGCCACCACCTCGAGGAGAGTCGCACCATTTCGAAAAAACATAGGTGGGAGGAAAAGGTGTGTCGTCGCACCGAACGCAAGCGAAATTTCGGTAGGTCGTCCCGTTCCACATGAATGGCGCGTAGTGTCTAAGGCAGAGCTCTACCGCACGGGGGTCGCTGATTGGACAAGAAATCGCGTCCAAAATATAACATGTTCGAAGCATAGAGGGCGCTAAGTACTCTGCGTCTTGGAAGTTGGGAGGGCTGAATAATTTCTGGTAGTGGTCGCTTAGAACCTGACCTCTAGCAATTTGTAGGACAATGCTGTTGGGAAGGAACCTAATACCCGACGTCTTCTTGTCTTTGTAGGAGATGGTCCAAAAGGTGACATTAGTGTGAGGTAGCCCGTGGCACATGGCGCAGTAGACATTCCGGTAATGTCGTCTGTCGAATCCTTCCACCGGTACGGCAGCAAGTCCGTCCATCCCAATCGTCTTCTCGCACAGCTCAGTGACCGCGGCAGCCCCAGTCCAGTCCGGCGGACAGACAGCCACAAGCCAGAACCCAGACCGGGGTCTAGATCCCTCAGGGTCAAACTCGTCCGTCTGGATGCACCTCATGTATTCTGCTGTATTCTCGCTACCGGAACGTCTATCCCCGTCGGTAACACCGACTCCGACCGTTGTCATCTCATCGACGTCGAACGTTCCGACCCCGCAGTACTCCTCGTAGTCCGGGCAACAGTCGTCGTACGTTAGGCAAAGATCATCGCAATGACAGTAGAACTGCTTCCAGGGCGGTTCCAAGCAACCGGAATAGCAGGTGTGCCATTTGTTGCGCGACGACGGACAGGCATACGGTATCTCCGTTGCAGCCGGCGTGGTCGGCCCATCGGCTGTGTTCGACAGCGTGGTATCAGTATCGAGATCGGTAGCGGACGGACTTCCTATCCAAAAAAATCAGGGTTGGAAAAAAGATAGGATTCCGCTCATGACACGAAATTGCATTTTGGACCAAAGCCCACCGCACACGAGAGTTATCTGCTGAGCAAAAAGTCATTCGTAGCCGTTTGCTCACAGACAACACGAAGCTCACCGTGTGCGGTCATTTGTTTTTGCTGCGTTTTGTGCTTCGCGAGAACGTGACGCAAATATCTGTCCTGCTTAATTTTGATTTTGCCTCGAGAGGCGAAAATCTCACCGTGTGGGGCAAGTGTACTACTTTAATTGCTGAGTCAAAAAGGAATAACTAGCCAATGAAAGTATGTACGTTATTCCAAGATGGCGGTACCAAACGAAAGTGTTAGCTACTCTGTCAGCGACTATGTTTTAGAGGACAAGCTGGTTAATTTGTGGCCAGATTATCCTTGTTTGTCGGTCGCATGATTTCAAAAATAGGGACAAACGCATACAGGCTGTAGATAAAATTAAACAACAGCTGGACCAGACAGGTATTTATTCCACTGTCATCGAGCACATACCGATCATTGGTACACCATTTACAAACAAGAATAGATTGGACAGGACAGATATTTGCCTCACGGCCTCGCAGCAAAAAAATGACCTTACAAGGTGAGCTGCGTGCTGAGCAAACGGCTTCGAATGGCTTTGTGCTCAGCAGATAGCGCTCGTGTACGGTGGGCTTAAGCGAGTTTGCAATTTGAAGATTCCTAAGCCATTACAGTTTTTAAAGGGAAATCAATTCAATTGAATGGGGAAATAACCCTAGACCGACAAATCTAATAGTACGTTAGTTTTTAGATTATCTTTTCGCGGGTTTAAACCTTTTTTAAAGCCAAAAGGACCGCTTTAGATTGCGATGTCTTCAACTGAACCTGGTTCCAAAAGGGTGTTTCTTCAGTCAACTCGTATACATGTTCAAAATATATAACATGATGTTAGGGTGGATAGTCGATATTATTAGCTCCCTGCGGTATCGAGGGTTGACAAACAGAATTCGGCTCTCACTCATGAGGTGCAGAAATGACAAGGATATTATGACAGAAAGGATAAAAAAAAATCTTTTTGCCCTGCCTTTGTATTCTTACCTGTTGTACCTTGTGCGTCTGAGAAACAAAGACACGTGACCAGCAAAAGAGACAGTTGCCGAAGGCCAGCCGCCATGTCTACTCCGTGCAGTCAACGGAGCGAACCGGTCCGTTAGCCCACTTGAATGCCACGACTTGGAAGAAACTCCGTCAGATTCTCAATATGCAACTTGGCACGGGGAGTATCACCGATAGGAAATGTTGTGCTGGTCGATCCGGTGTGGTCTTCACACAGTGCACAATCGAGAAATGAACTTGTTTTCCAGAAACCTGTCACTTTATGCTTCCTTGGCGGGCCTATTCACGCGTGGGCGTTGGGGCACGCTAATCAGTGAAACGTGATTGGTCATGCAGAGATCTGACGATTTTCTTCTTTGAAGATTCAAGGCCTAACAAATGCCTGTCTGCAACAATCAAACATTAAACAATTTGACGGGCCTGAACCCTGCCTGGATCCGCCCCTGTAGGGCAAAACGAACCTTCGGATGAACGAACCCTCGGTCTGTCGAGCGGTCACCGATAGGCATAACTTCAGTTCCTGCAGACATTCTGTACAATTCTTTACAAGAAAATAATCCAAATTCCCAACGTTACGACACACCTTTGTCTCACACTTAAAAAGGCCTGCTAAAAGTAAAAACAAAATAAAAGTCAAATCTCTTTTCCAACAATCAAATTCTTTTCTAAAGCCACATCGAGGAACACAAAAAGAGCGGGAATTGGCATTAAAGACAATAATGGCACCGCCACGGACAACAGAAACCTTGATCATGAAAGTAATTGATAATTCCCGTCTTAACTCGTGATACCCCGCGATCTCTCGAGACTGGTAATAGTTCCTCCATAGCTTCACTTGAAAAGGACTACATGTACATCCGTATTAAACAGACGATAGCGTATAACTCTTAGAAAGAACCAGCGTTATCAGAAAAAAAGATTTAGTTGTCTGGGAATTTTGCTGACGGATAACAACCAGGCCTCTTGGGTCATTCAAAAGCATTAAACAGAATTAAATGTTCAAGATGAAGCATGTCCTAAGCCCACGAAGCAGTCGTTGACACGCGAAGAACCGACAGCAGTGTTCGCGTACTCTCATCTCGCTGGCACAAAAGTGTAGAGTCAAGTCAAAAAGCTTGCACTTTCAAGCATTCGTCATGACACGAAAACGCTATCCAAGGATTTTACACTTCTGTTTCGCAATGCATGAAAAAAAAGACAGCTTGCTTTCAGCAACTGAAGTTGGAGAAGTTGAAAATAGTTGAACATGCCTTGTAAGGAGACTATTTTAGTAAGTGATGTGTGGTGGGGGGTAGGGTAATTAACTGCAAGATTCGGTCGATAAGTGCACTCTAAAATGTCATTGGCCAGATTATATTTTTTCTAAATAGTCAGTGCCAGATCAAATAGGGTACGAGGTTGAATGAACCCTGTAGGATGGCATCATTCACTACGGCTTGCAATTACACAAGTCTATGCAAAAGTGGCTGCAAAGAGCGCCCTCATTGAGTACAAAACTTTCAGTGATAATGAAAGTACAAAGTGCCTGTGTGACAGGTAATTCTGTCCCCCCTGGTAAATGTGTCCCCCGGACACATTGACGGGCTCGTGACCCGGTAAACGTGTCCGGGGGGACACTTTTACCTAGGTAAATTTGTCCCCCTCCAGGTAAAAATGTCCCCCTGCCCAACGGTGAAAGTGTCCCCCTGGTAAATGTGTCACCATGCAGTATGGACCCACTCCAACTCGGACCCAAGACCAACTCGGACCCACTACCAACTCGGACCCACTACCAACTCGGACCCAAGCACGACCAACTCGGACCCAACAATGACTTAATCATTAGTTTCAGAGATTATATTTATAGGTCATCTTAATGTTACAGTGCTTATATAGTGAGGATATTCTGTATTTATATTGGTCAGAAATGGGCTTTAAGTTTGGTTGTTTGATCATACTACGTTGATTTTGCTCTCTTATTACTCATTCACATGAAGAAATGGATATCTATGTGCAATGTTTTCCTTTGTCATCTGCTTTTTGTGTGCGTGCCAAATAATATAAACCAAATTAAATTACACCCAATGAAGGATTTAATATGTCACAGAAAGGTAATCATCAAGTTAAGGAAATTAGGAAGTGCGTCCTATTGCAGTTAATCCCAGTTGGGCCCCATAATGCCTCGCTATATCCATTGACCTAAGAAATTGTAAACAGTAAGCCGTTGGCTAACTGAAAAATACAACCTAAGGAAAAGGGGCATTAGCAGTTTTTTTTGTGGGGGCACTGAAAAATTTGTGGGGGCGGGCACGTGCCCCCCCCCCTCGTTACGCCACTGGTCCCACCCGCACTCCCTTGGAACCCCATACCCAGGTCGTGAGGCTGGCCTGAAAAAAAATACAAATACATGAATCACCAAACATATAAATCTTGACATAACAAAACTATGCAGCCTCAAATTCAAAAATGCTGCAAAATGTGGCGGAGTAGGCCTATACACAGAGATCAGTTGCACAGATAATCATGTCATTTACTTTGAGAAATACCGACCGTGTCTCATAAAACAGAAAAGGGTTAACTTACACATGATTTGAAACAAGTATAAACGTATTGGGTCTATTCTTTCAGAGAAAGTGGTACGATACAGGAAAACAGCGGATAAATGGGTATATTTGAAATCAGGCTAAATTAGCCGATACTGTCGATAATCATTGGGTGGTGGTTGAAGCTGAAATTACATTCGGAATTTTTTTTCAAGGTACTCAAAGTTGAAGTGGGTATGACTCAAACTATTCCTCAAAAAAATGCATGATAGAGCGTAGGGCCTATAATTATATACAGGCCTAACAACTAGTAAACTGGACATCACAACTTCGAGTTGCCGACGTCATACTGATAATGATGTTGAAGACAAATGGCCACTCAATTCGAAATTTTATTTGTGTGTCTGCTGCCAGAAGGCGTGGAAATTTCACTCTAAAGGCTACTTTAATGGAGCCTGACATTGGCATTCCGCAAGAAAAAAATGATGTCAAATCAGTTGGAAATGGGTATTGAGTGAGATGCTATACATGTATAGTAACAGTTTTACAAAGGCCGTTTCCGAGGGTTAAAAAAACGTGTAGGCTACCAAAATTAATTTCACAACTCCGATCGACTTTCACACGCTCATTTTTTTCTATTCGAGGGGCCCTGAATTGCGCCGAGAAGTTGTGCGTGGAATGGACACATTTTGAGTAAACTTCCCTAAAATCGTTTATTCCTCCATGCTGAAATACACCCCCATCATGGGTACGGGTCACGTCTTGTGAGATGACGGCTGGCTTTGCGGTTGAGTGGCAGCGCACCAACCAAATTGTTGTCCAATTTTTGTATTGACAGATGATAAGTGGACAAACTTTATGAAGTTGTCGAATGATTGAAACGCTGTCGAATGATTGTAAACGATGGGTCCCAGTTGGTCATGCATGGGTCCGAGTTGGAAGTGGGTCCGAGTTGGTTGTGGGTCCGAGTTGGTAGTGGGTCCGAGTTGGTAGTGGGTCCGAATTGGTAGTGGGTCCGAGTTGGCATGGGTCCGAGTTGGCTTGGGTCCGACTTGGTTTGGGTCCGAGTTGATCGAAACCGTACTGAGAGCAGCAGCGTGTCGCACGCGCCAGTACATGCAGCAAGATTTGAGGCAGTGATTATAACATGTGTACATAGTTATGCGTCTCCCTCTACAATGGAAATTCGTCCAATAGGAAATTTCGTTAAGCGCTATGATGGGAACACAGACCAATCCAAGGAGACGTTGTATCATACTATCAATGAGACGAGGGCCGGCCATCGCCACGCATCGCCGCTGTGTACGTGTTGACCTATCGCGGTAGAATCGCGATAGACTTCACCGTACTCCGAATCGAAACACTGTGTTCACGTATTACCTAATAAATGATAATAGACTTAATTACATATTTTTTATATTCATGAAGGGCAGACTAAAAGTCCAAATTGTATACCTTGAAGAGTGAATTCATCAAAACAATAACCTTCCGGGTTTCAAAAGAGGGGGATTAAAAAACCTGGGGGACAGAATTACCTGGAGGGGACAGAATTACCTGGAGGGGGACAGAATTAACGGGCCAGGGAGGACACTTTTACCTAGGTAATTCTGTCCCCCGGACACTTTTACCGGGGGACAGAATTACCTTCAACACCTGCGCATGCGTATCAGTGGGAAACAAAGACCTGCCAGGATGAGGGCGCTCTATGCGCCCACTTTTTAGAGCGATCTTAAACAGAACCGAAAAAGAAGACATTGGTTGTCAATTTTTCCGATTTCATTTGTGCTTTTTTTTATTCGACAATAAATATGTTCTTGACAACAGTGTTTGTGTTATGATAACTGGTTCAATAGGCTACACTGTGAAAATTTTACCTTCAAGAACCTAATTTAGATTGCACATCACAAAACATTTTATATGCTAAAACAGAGTTATGCAATTTGTTGATGTTAAGTCATGCGCGTGCATACTTCACAAGTAGATTCGAAACGTTTGCATTGGTGCAGTGTTGCGAACATTTGCATATGGACACGGCTCTACCCTCATGTCAGTAGTATACCGCCCTCTGTGGTTCATCACACACAAACAATTACTCACCATACAATTTTTAGAACACAATTATGATACTTCCAGTGAGTACTTGGGGAAATGTCTTAAGTCTGGTGGTATCTTGTGTTTCAGAACAACACAATAAACTATTCATTTAAATATTCAGCCCTTAGTTTCGTTTAATACTCAACGTTACATACACATTTGCATGCTAAAGTTATCATACAATCTAAATTACATCGGTGTGCTCATTTAAAGGGATATTACTTACTGGAAAAGGCCGGCTGGAATAAGCCAAATTCGGCTATAAAACGCATTTTAAACTAAATGACGTTAATTGGAAAGAGAATTAACAGTAGGATATAAACTTCCACCAAACTATGATTTTAAACCAGGCGTTTTTTTATTCTTGCGAGAAGTGAGAGAAAGAAATTCGGGGGTCCAAAGTTTGACTCCCAAAAGCTGTTAAGTGCTATTTGTGTGAATCCAGCCGCGCAGTGCATCGCATTCTGCGGACGTGCGAGAAACAATATTTTGTGTATTGGTGTTGGGTTTATTATTGGCGGAATTTGGCGGAACTGAGCACATTCGAAATGAAGTATAAGTTGTGCGCGCTGCGTTCTAAACGAGAGATCACGAAGCGTTATCTGCTGTATGTAGTATGAGGCAATTATGATATTTATGATATTATGATATTTAAAGTGAGTACTTGGGAAAATGTCTTAAGTCTGGTGGTATCTTGTGTTTCAGAACACCACAATAAACTATTCATTTAAATATTCAGCCTTTAGTTTCGTTTAATACTCAACGTTACATACACATTTGCATGCTAAAGTTATCATACAATCTAAATTACATCGATGTGCTCATTTAAAGGGATATTACTCACTGGAAAAAGCCGGCTGGAATAAGCCCAATTCGGCTTTAAAACGCATTTAAAATTAAATGACTTTAATTGGAAAGAGAATTAAAAGTAGGATATAAACTTCCACCAAACTATGCTTTTAAACCAGGCGGTTTTTTTAATTCTTGCGAGAAGCATCAGAAAAAGAAATTCGGGGGTCCAAATTTTGACTCCCAAAAGATGTTAAGTGCTAGTTGTGACTTGTGAATCCTGCAGCGCAGTGCATCGCATTCTGCGGACGTGCGAGAAACAATATTTTGTGTATTGATGCTGGGTTTATTATTGGCGGAATTTGGCGGAACTAAGCACATTGGAAATGAGGAATAAGTTTTGCGCGCTGCGCTCTAAACGAGAGATCACGAAGCGTTATCTACTGTAAGGGCAGGGGCGACAAACATTTTGTCTTGTAATTAAAAGCACGTAGGAACATTTTGCAACTATCCGCAAACGTACCTAACGATTTAACGAGGACATGTGAAGATAGGACTGGTACCAAATACCCTGTGAAATTATTCCGCCTGAAATGGTATCATTCGGAAGAAAACAATCATTGAATCTGGTTTCAGAAAATGTGCCCGCGGGCACATTTTTTACGTCCGTTAGCATCCAGTTAAGAGTCCCAAAAATTGCGCAAACGTATTTTTCTCCGTTTTCTCAAAAGTGAGTATTCATTGAGCATAAACTTCAATAAGTTAGTTGCTATGCACCCTTCTTCAGATTTTGAGCAATTGTGTTGCTTGAAACGGAAAGAAAAAGAAAATGCATCAAAAGCAGATGTTCCTTTGTACCTTTATTTACATATCTGTGCCTTTGGTTACACTCTCCGCTTGGCTCTGTTGGGGCACGGCCGATTTGGATGACCTTTGACCTCGACCCGACGCGGACGCTCCAGGGCGTCCGCGCCGTGAGTCAAGCCACGCCCTCCACATGGCCAGCACGCGCCGGTTGCAGACGAAGGCCAGGCAGACGAGCGCCCCCTGGGTGGAGTTCAGGACGATGTAGAGGTACCAGAAGAACTCGACGCCTGAGAAGGAGGCTACGAAGCCGAAGACCCAGGTGAAACCCATGATAGCTGTTAGCTGAATTCGGAGGATAATTAAAAACAGAAGAGTGAATTTAATTCCAGTATACGTTGTTCTTAAAATGCAATACTTTGCTAGGCAAACAGTTTTACCTTCAGGTACAGGAAAAGGTCGTTGTTAGGCCTTTTTGCCGCCAAACCGCTCTGCCCCTGGGTGATATTCATCCGCTTGGATGCCATCCGCGTCCTCTTGACCCCCGCAACGGTCAGAGAAAATAGGACCGCATTGGAGCAGAGAATCACAACAATCGGAAGGCCGAAGGACAGCAGATTGGCTGTCCCGTTGCCGACCCAGCACGCACGCGCAGTGCCGTAGGAGACGTCGGCGTCCACGCAGTCGCAGAAGCTCAAGACGGCGACGGTGGCGACGATGACGGTTGGCGCGCCCCAGCCGTAGAGGGCGTAGCGAAAGAATGACCTTTTGTTGGGGTCACTTAGGCTGGTGCCGATGCCGAAGGTGCGGTAGATGTCCACGGCAAGGATGTTCATCCAGAAGAACGCGGCGAGCCAGAAGTAATGGGAACTGATCGCGAATGTGACGCAGAGAGTGGGGACGTCAGTGCGATCAAGACCTGGTCATAAAAAAGCCCCGAAATCTTTGTTAGCATTGTTAAGTTGGCAAAGCACATTTCTATTTTCAGTACTGGGCTTATAAAATGGTCTTTTTCATATCTAAAGCGGGCTTGTGCACTGTTGTGACCCTCTGTTGACATGCCTCTAATATGCAAATCCTTGCAATGGATGGCGCTCAAACTTTATTCGTATCTGCTATCTGTTCAGGGATACTTCAGGCACTTCAGTTGAGAGAGTTTTTTTAGAGAGATTGTGCAACATTAACAAAATGCCAGCTTGCAATAAAAACACTGAGGACTGTTATTTCTATATTCATTAAAGATACTGTGTGATGTAATGCTTTTGTCGTAACTTCTGCTTGATGAATAGGAGAATGCATCGCCACGTGTTCTTAGAAAGCTCTACATGTGCATTTACTTACCAATGAGCATTGTTAACTGGGCAATAAAGAGCGCCGCCACCAGACTCATGAGTGCCCGACCCGCCGCGTTGCGACGCAGAGACGGGAACGCGACGTAGGTAGCGATTGTGACAACCAGACCAATCAGGGACAAGCTACTGCCGGTGGCTGTGAGAATGTCCTGGGCGGGGCCAAACTTCATGTAAGGAGGGTCGGCAGAGGGTTGAAGAAAGTTACACACCTCTACATCCCCATCGGACTTTATCTCAAACTCGCCACTACGGAGCAGGCGGTCGTGCGCCGTGAGTCTAATCGAGTCGTTGAGGGCGCCAGTGATGACGTAATCATCTTTTGAAAATGTCAACAGAGGGCAGTCGACAAGCAACTCCGCGCAGGAATCATTCTGCGAGACCACAAAGTGTCCCGAGTCCTTGTCCCGAACGTACGCAACTTTCAAAGTGAAAGCGTTGTTAAAGTTAGACTCCTCTTCAGTATCATTGGACAGATTGTCGCAAGGAGTTAAGACTGCCAGATATTCAGGTCGCATGGTGTGGTTCCCGACTCGACTGACAAAGCACTGGCTGGAAAGTTCATCGTTCTGAGCAATGATATGGTCAACTAAGGGCGACAGACTGTTGAAAGACACGTTGATGCTGCACGCTAAGACACTGCCTGACAGACATCCGGGTGTAGAATCCAGGATGGCGACGTCCATTGTGCATGACCACTGGACGCTAAAGTCGTCACATAATTCATCGTCTCGGTCGACCTGATTGTTCTCTGTCATTTCCTCGTCCAATTCGCAAAGGGAGGTGGTGGACTGATAATCTTTAGCAGCTTGGTGAGCAACTTCTTCCCAAATTTCATTCAGTCTATTCGTGTGTTGAGCTTCAGTATCCATGTCCAGACTAACCATGACGGTGAGGGCGACCTCGACGTTGGACTTTAGGCCAGTTGATTCATTCTCAGTCTCGCGAATTCTCGCGCATCCCACGCCGCCGTCGCGTAGCGCGAAGCCTTCAGGGCAACTCAGGTCTAGGCAGGAGGACGAAAAAGGATTGTAGATTTGACGGTGCGTGCAGGTAGTGTCTCTGTCAGAGAAAACCAGCAGTGTAGCCATGGAGCCACCCCTGCCACCATCAAGAGATTGCGTGCACCATGTCGAAAGAATATCGGTGGGAGGAATAGGTGTGTCGTCGCACCGAGCGCAAGCGAAATTTCGGTAGGTCGTCCCGTTCCAAGTGATTGGCGCGTAGTGTCTTTGGCAGAGCTCTACCGCACGGGGGTCGCTGATTGGACAAGAAATCGCGTCCAAAATACGACATGTTCGAAGCATAAAGGACGATAAGTACTCTGCGTCTTGGAAGTTGGGAGGGCTGAATAATTTCTGGAAGTCGTCGCTTGGAACCTGACCTCTAGCAATTTGTAGGACAATGCGGTTGGGAATGAAGCTATTAAACGACTTCGTCTTGTCTACATAGGAGATGGTCCAAAAGGTGACATTAGTGTGAGGTAGCCCATGGCACATGGCGCAGTAGACATTCCTGTAATGTCGTCTGTCGAATCCTGTCACCGGTACGGCAGCAAGTCCGTCCATCCCGACCGTCTTCTCGCACAGCTCAGTGACCGCGGCAGCCCCAGTCCAGTCCGGCGGACAGACAGCCACAAGCCAGAACCCAGACCGGGGTCTAGATCCCTCAGGGTCAAACTCGTCCGTCTGGATGCACCTCATGTATTCTGCTGTATTCTCGATACCTGAACGTCTATCCCCGTCGATAACACCGACTCCGACCGTTGTCACACTGATTCCGAACGTTCCGACCCCGCAGTACTCCTCGTAGTCCGGGCAACAGTCGCCGTACGTTACGCAGAGATGATCACACTGACAGTAGAACCGCTCCCAGGATCTTTGTAAGCAACCTCTCATTTTGCTGCAGCTGTGCCACGTGTTTCGCTGCGTCGGACAGGCATACGGTATCTCCATTGCAGCCGGCGTGGTCGGCCCATCGGCTGTGTTCGACAGCGTGGTATCAGTATCGAGGTCGGTAGCAGACGGACTTCCTGTCCAAAAAAATATGGGTTGGAAAAAAAGATAGGATTTCGCTCATGACACGAAATTGCATTTTGGACCAAAGCCCACCGCACACGAGAGTTATCTGCTGAGCAAAAAGTCATTCGTGGCCGTTTGCTCACAGACAACACGTAGCTCACCGTGTGCGGTCATTTGTTTTTGCTGCGTTTTCTGCTTCGCGAGGCCGTGAGGCAAATATCTGTCCTGCTTAATTTTGATTTTGCCTCGAGAGGCGAAAAACTCGGCGTGTGGGGGGCAAGTGTACTACTTTAATTGCTGAGTCAAAAAGGAATAAATAGCCAATGAAAGTATGTACGTTATTCCAAGATGGCGGTACCAAACGAAAGTGTTAGCGACTCTGTCAGCGACTATATTTTAGAGGACAAGCTGGTTGATTTGTGGCCAGATTATCCTTGTTTGTCGGTCGCATGATTTCAAAAATAGGGACAAACGCATGCAGGCTTTTGATGAAATTGCAAAACAGCTGTACCAGACAGGTATTTATTCCACTGTCATCGAGCACATACCGATCATTGGTACACCATTTACAAACAAGAATAAATAGGACTGGACAGATATTTGCCTCACGGCCTCGCAGCAAAAAATGACCGAACAAGGTGAGTTGCGTGCAGAGCTAACGGCTTCGAATGGCTTTGTGCTCGGCAGATAGCGCTCGTGTACGGTGGGCTTAAGCGAGTTTGCAATTTGAAGATTCCTATAGGCCATAACAATATTAATAGGGAATTCAATTCAATTCAATTCAATGGGGAAATATATTCCAACTGTACAATATTACACCATGAAAATTCACCCTAGACCGACAAATCTAATAGTACGTTAGTTTTTAGATCATCTTTTCGCGGGTTCAAACTTTTTTTCAGGCCAAAAGGACCGCTTTAGATTGCGATGTCTTCAACTGAACCTGGTTCCAAAAGGGTGTTTCTTCAGTCAACTCGTATACATGTTCAAAATTTATAACATGATTTTAGGGTGGATAGTCGATATTATTAGCTCCCTGCGGTATCGGAGGTTGACGAACAGAATTCGGCTCTCACTCATGAGGTGCAGAAATGACATGGATATTATGACAGAATGTATAAAAAAAAATTGCCATCAAAATCTCTTTGCCCTGACCTGATTTGTACACGGCAAGATCCTTTATATTTTTATTGTGGTACGCGTCCAATTTTTTTTTTTTTTTTTTAGAGTATACCCATCATGCGCAATTCTCAAGTGCAGTCCATTCGCTTACTTCGACATTTTGTTGGTAGTGGTGAGGGTCCATTTAACTTGAGTTGAACAATTGACCCTGAAAATCCCAGCCAAACTCCAGCCCTCTGACAAGAACCATAAAATTATGTTCGTGTAATAAAATCATTATAGTGAGTCCACAGCCGGCCTCGCCGTAGGACAATCACGGATAATCGATCATCCAGTCAACAAAACTAGTCAACAAGCTCAACTGACGGTTGTTTGCAGTCTTCTGTCCATCATAAAAACCTAAATTTGATAGACAACAAATAGTTGACAATTTGGAGCCTAAACGTGTATGGCAAACTGAAGTACGGCTCTGGAACCGTGTTTTAAAATGCCATAGTTGCACATCAGGTTTAAATTGCACAACAAGAACCAAAGTATGAAATTATAAACGTCTCTCCCGGGCCTTTGTATTCTTACCTGTTGTACCTTGTGCGTCTGCGCAACAAAGACACGTGACCAGCAAAAGAGACAGTTGCTGAAGGCCAGCCGCCATGTCTATGGAACTGTGCTACCAACGGAGCGAACCGGTCCGTTGATGCCACGACTTGGAAGAAACTCAGTCAGATTCTTAATATGCAACTTGGCACGGGGAATATCACCGATAGGAGATGTTGTGCCAGTCGATCCGGTGTGATCTTCACACGGAGCACAACCGAGAAATGAACTTGTTTTCCAGAAACCTGTCAATTTATGCTTCCTTGGCGGGCCCTTTCACGCGTGGGCGTTGGGGCACGCTAATCAGTGAAACGTGATTGGTCATGCAGAGATCTGACGATTTTCTTCTTTGAAGATTCAACGCCTAACAAATGCCTGTCCGCAACAATCGGACATAAAACAATTTGACGGGCCTGAACCCTGCCTGGATACGCCCCTGTTGGGCAAAACGAACCTTCGGATGAACGAACCCTCGGTCAGTCGAGCGGTCACCGATAGGCATAACTTGAAAACACTAGATCAGTTCCTGCAGACATTCTGTGAAATTCTTTAAGAAAATAATCCAAATTCCCAACGTTACGACACACCTTTGTCTCACACTTAAAAGGCCTGCTAAAAATAAACGTATCTCGCCAAATCTCGTTTCCAACGATCAAATTTTCTTCGAAAGCATCATCGAGAAACACAAAAAGAGCGGGAATTGACATGAAAGACAATAATGACACCGCCACGGACAATGGAAACCTTGATCATGTAAGTAATTGATAATTCCCGTCTTAACTCGTGATACCCCGCGATCTCTCGAGACTGGTAATAGTTCCTCCATAGCTTAACTTGAAAAGGACTACATGTACATCCGTATTAAACAGACGATAGCGTATAACTCGGATGACAACCAGGCCTCTTGGGTCATTCAAAAGAATAAAACAGAATTCAGTTAAAAGTTCAAGATGAAGCTTGTCCTAAGCCGATGAAGAAGTCGGTGACAAGCTAAGAAGCGTAAACAGGGTTCGTGTACTCTCAATCTCACTGGCATGAACGTGTTGTCAAGTCAAAATGCTTGCACTTTCATGCGCTCGTCACGACATGAAAACTTCATCCAAGGATTTTACACTTCTGTTTCGCACTGCAAAAATAAAAGACATCTGCTTTCACCAACTGCAGGTGGAGAAGTTGAACATAGTTGAACTTGCCTTGTTAGGAGACTACTCAGATAAGTGAGGCGTGGTTACGAGGGGGTGGGGTGGGGTGGGGTGGGGGAATGATTAACACCACGATACGGTTAGTGCACTGTAAAATGTAAGTGGTCAGATTTTGTCTTAAACGATACCACAGGCTGAATATTCAATTGAATAATATATTGTTTCGTTGTTACACGCAAAAGATACCACCAGACTTGAATTGTTTTCCCAATGTCTCCCCAATGTCATAACATTGTGTTGTACGCTGGCTAAATTTCCCGTGATGAACCACAGAGGGTGCTATACAACTGGCATGGGATAGAGCCGTGTCAATAATAGTGAAGTATGCACTCGCTTTTTAACTAAGCCTTAGCCCCTTAGGGTGTGTGAAAAATCATATTCATAAATACCTAAGGCAGTTTAACCATTCCTATTGGTCAAGAGCCCGTCACATGGCCGGTTTTAAACGGTTGATAAAGACATGGCTGGCTGGTCTTAACCACTTTTCCAGGGTCACATGAAAGTTTTACTTCTATGAAAGCCGGTGCCAGCACCGTTTTGGGGTGTTTTGTTGATCGAAATCGTTGAAAATTTATAATGTTTGACTTGTTTTGACATTTGGACCGAAAAGTTTTGATTTGTTTGACCGAAAAGGCATTTATGAATGGGAATAAGCATGTGCTTGGTCGGTATTAAACACTATGCTTAAGCCCGGTTGGAGTGTGGATGCTGATTTACCCTCGCCTTCGGGTCAGGTAATTATCAGCATCCAGACACCAACCGGTCTCATCATAGTGTTTAAAACGTCCGAAGCACACATTTATTCCCCTATTGAAAGTGAAGGATTCAGGACTGTTCAATAGTAATACTCTGTTGCAGTAACTAAAAGTTTTGTGATGTGCAATCAATATTAGGTCTTGTAAGTAAAGTTTTTACAATGTAACCATTTATCTTGTATAGTAAAAACAAAAAAAAATGTTGTCAACTTTAACAACTTTATTGCTATATAAAAATAGCACAAATGAATTCGGTTAAACTGATAACCGATGTCCCCTTTTCGGTTCTGTTTGGGATCGCTCTAAAAAGAGCGCCCTCGTTCGGACAGAACTTTGTTTCTCTCTGATACGCATGCGCAGGCACTTTGTACTTTCATTATCAATGAAATTCTTTTAATACACGTTCTCGTTGATGGCAAGTCGTAGTGAGTAAGATTTGAGGCTTTGCATGGTGGAGATACTAAATAATGAAAGGTTTGCGGAAACACCATGTGCGAATAATTTCTCAACTAAGAGAATGGTTCTGAAAAGAACAAGAGGTATAAACTCGACGTTCCGGTCATTAGGAGGTCATCCGGAGTTGAGGCACTTTCCTGAAGACGGTCAGAGCATACTGACCGGAACGTCGAGTTTATACCTCTGGTTCTTTTCAGAACCATTCTCTTAGTTGAGAAATTATTCGCACATGGTGTTTCCGCAAACCTTTCATTGTTTAAGTCGTAGTGAGTGATGCCATCGCTACATGGTTCATTCAACCTCGTACCCTATCTGATCTGGCTCCGAGTATTCAAACAAATGTAATCTGACCACTGACATTTTAGAGTGCACTGACCCAATCATGGAGTTGATCATTCCCTCCCCCACCCCATCATAACCACACATCACTTTAACGAAATAGTCTCCTAACAAGGCGTGTTAAAATATTTTCAACTTCTCTACCTTCGGTTGGTGAAAACAGATGTCTTTTTTATGCAGTGCGAAACAGAAGTGTAAAATCCTTGGACGATGTTTTCGTGTCACGACGAGCGTACGAAAGCCCATTAGTGCCACCCATTTTTTGTCGAGAGCATTTTTTGTCCAGAGCAGTTACTTTTTTTCAAGAGCACTTATTTTTTTTCGAGAGCAATTGGGTTTTTTTCAGAGCAGTTATGTTTTTTCGAATGTAATCATTTTTTTCTTCGATAGCAATTATTTTTTTCCAGAGCAGTTATTTCTTTTCGAGAGCAGTTATTTTTTTTTCAAGAGCACTTATTTCTTTTCGAGAGCAGTTATTTTTTTTTCAAGAGCACTTATTTCTTTTCGAGAGCAGTTTTTTTTTTTTCAAGAGCACTTATTTCTTTTCGAGAGCAGTTATTTTTTTTTCAAGAGCACTTAATTTTTTTCGAGAGCAATTATTTTCTTTTTCAGAGGAGTTATGTTTTTTCGAATGTAATTATTTTTTTCTTCGAGAGCAATTATGTTTTTTTTCCAGAGCAGTTATTTCTTTTCGAGAGCACTTATTTTTTTTCGAGAGCAATTATATTTTTTCCAAGAGCAGTTATGTTTTTTTCGAGAGCACATTTTTGTTCGAGAGCGCTTCTTTCTTTTTTTCAAGAAGCACATGTTTCGCGCGCGCGGACACCAAGACTGTGCCTGTGCAATGCAGTCACAGATCGGAGACGGCTCAATAAAGTGAAACTGGATGTACTTGCTCCACATGGAAAAAATCTAGTTTTAAATATTTATGATAAAACTAGATTTTCCCCATGCACTCAACGTGAAAACTTAGTGACGCAAAGCCGCTTATCTAATTTGTTTGGGGGTAACATTATGAAAATTTGTAACATTTAAAAAAAAAATCATCAATAAATAAAACTACATTTTCCCCATGCGCATCGCATGAGGAAAATATAGTTTTATTTATTTATATAAAGCCATTTTAGGGCCTAAATTTCATCCACATTTCACAGAAATAAGAACTCGCAGTCCTCTGCATGGCTTCCGACCTTCTTTTTTACAATTCATCCAGTTCACGGCCTTCAAAATGCTCTAATATTGAATAATTTGAGGGCATGCAAATCGTGATTTGGCCGGCGTAGGCAATTTCGGACCGACTTACTGGCGTGCACCCTTTAAAGAAGCAAGGTTTAGAAAAATTCCCCCAAACCACTTGTACGGCTTGAGGCAGGATGGATAACCCATATTTCATCAACGTGATTACTTAGTTATGCAAAGCCGCTTAACTAATTTGTTTCGGGGTCAAATCATGAAAATGTGTAACATTTAAAAATAAAAAAATAAAAAAATAAATAAATAAAACTAGATTTTTCCATGCACTCAACGTGAAAACGTAGTGATGCAAAGCGGCTTAACTAATTTATTTGGGGGTAAAATAATAAAAATTTGTAACATTTAAAAAAAAATCATGAATAAATCAGTTTATTATCTGATTAATAGCATCACACCTGTGCTTTATGAGGAAATGCCTAAAAGTGCATATTTTTTAATGTCTTTTCAGTATTATGCTAATGAGCTTACTTTACAGGAACGTGTGTGTATCGACAAGATTCAGAGTCAAGGGCGGTAATGTGAACAATAATAATAATAATAATTTATTCATTTATAAAGCGCAAATTCCAATATGATTTTGTTCAAATGCGCTGTACAGTAAAAAATATTAATTAAAATACAAGAAAATACACTCTAAAAATGTACCATGACGCGCTATTACACACATTAAAAATAAAAAGTAACAGCAAAAAATTACTCGCAAGGAGCTTAGAACGACCCACCATTTCACATGTTACAATACAAAGAAGTAACAATAAAATCAGTAAAAGGCCAACTTAAAAAGATGAGTTTTTGACAGAGACTTGAAGTTATCAACACTGTTGGCTCTCCTAATGTGAATCGGGAGGGCATTCCAGAGTGTAGGGGCAGCATTAACAAAAGCACGATCCCCACGGGTAACTTTGGTACGGCGAAAAGGGTAGCCCAGGAGAGTGTCATCGTGAGAACTACGAAGATTGTAACGGGATTCTTAATGATAAGTTGGCTAAGGTAAACAATTTACCCCGATTATTTCCATACACTTTGCATCACGATTATTATTGTTTATGGCTTAACAGGATTGTTCAGTAAACAATATATTTCAATTAATTATTCAGTTAATTAATTAAATCAATTAATTGAGATAATGAATTTAGTAAAAAACCTGAAACTAGTCTCCATATTTGAACAACTTCAGGGACGTTGGAGACTTTTTAAGCAATCGCCGCTAGTGTCCTTTTGTATTGCTTGCCAGGTCCCAGACCCCCCCCCCCCCAAAAAATAATGGCT